TAGAACATAAAGCCTGGCACACAGTAAGTTAAGTGCTACCTGTTAGTTATGTTGTTCTCTGCAGCAAATAATTCCCCTCAATATCTTAAATGGAATAAAATCAGGACAAATAGTAAGTGTGTAGAATTATTTTCATGATAAAATACATGTTGTAATTGATTTATAATTAATTATAAGGAGATAATAAGCAAGAACATCCTGGATTGGCATCCAAGTACTGATGTTTGGGAGACAAGCAATATTTTCCATAACAATTCTTGGTGCTGTTCCCAGAATCATGTATTTTTAACCACTCTGGTAAAGTATCATCTCTATTTTTTAAAATAAGATTTTATTTACTTATCTGAGAGAGAGAAAGAGAGCACAAGCAGGTAGAGGGGCAGAGGGAGAAACATACTGCTGAGCAGTGAACCCGATGTGGGGCTCGATCCCAGCATCCTGGGATCATGACCTGAGCCAAAGGCAGATGCTTAACCCACTGAGCCGCCCAGGCACTCCTATCACCTCTATTTAAAAAAAAACAAAAACAAAAACAAAAAACAACATTTTTGTAAATGGTAAAAATTTAATGAGTTCTTTTTAGCTGGCCATAAAAACAAAACAGAAAATAAAAAGAAGGAGGAAGAAGAAGACAAAGAAGAAAAGGAAACAAAGGAAAGCTTGTTAGAGTATAAGCTTCCAGGAGAATCATGTCCTTAAATGTTCTGTAACCTTGTCAGGATTCCTTGTTCTACATTCTGGCCTCTATATTCTGCCAGATGCCCTGTCTTCTGTCTGACCTAACAAAACAGGGATAGACATGTTTTGTGGAAGGGCATTGGTTCTGGATGAACACACACCTATGTTTAATCCTGGCACTGCCGTTACTAGCTGGTGATCACGGGAAAATTACATTAAATTTGTAAATTTGTCTCTTCTACAATAGAGGTAATAATAGAATGACATCATAGGAATGACAGGATTATGTGAGCAAATGTAGAGGAAGCATCTCGCACAGTTCCTGGCATGTGGCTAATGGTCTATGCATTTAGTTCCCTTTTCCCCTGACCTCTCACTCTGTCCCCTTGCCTTTCCTGCCAATAGAGTCAGGTTTACCTACTTCTCCTTGAAATTCTAGGGGCGCCTGGGTGACTCAGATGGTTAAGCATCTGCCTTCGGCTCAAGTCATGCCTGGTCTCTAGGTCCTGGGATCGAGCCCTGTGTTGGCCTAACTGCTCAGCAGGGAGTCTGCTCCTCCCTCTCCTTCTGCCTCTCCCCTCTGCTCGTGCTCTCTCTCTCTCTCAAATGAATAAATAAAATCTTAAAAAAAAAATAAATTAGAAGAAAACTGAGTTGCCTCATTTCAGGGTACCACACTGACTCCCCCAGATACAGAGGAATCCCTTAAACTGAAGGACCCCCAGTTCAAAAGACAGGAAAGAGAACTGAAGAAAGAACCTAAATCTTGGAAATTCTGAGGCTGGTATTCTCCAAACACAAGATCCCTTTTTAAAATTATTTTTTATTTTTTATTTATTTATTTTTGAGAGAGAGAGAGAGAGCGCAAGCATGAGCAGGGGGAGGGGCAGAGGGAGAGAATCTTTCAAGCAGACTCCCCGCTGAGTGTGGAGCCCCACTCAGGGCTTGATCCCACTACTCATGAGATCACAACGTGAGCTGAAACCAAGAGTCAGGTGCTTAACTGACTGAGCCACCTAGGTGCCCCATTCCCAACTTTTTAGGAGCTAGGATGTACTGCCTGTGAACCTCCAGGGCTCCTTTTCCTTGTCGAAGGCCCTGCCAAAAAGGCTGGACATACTCCTCGGCTTCCTTCTCCCCACCTACACTTTCACTATGGCCACAGAGGCAATTCCAGTCTAAAGGCAAGAAGAGGAATTTGCCATGAATTATGGGTCCCGCCGCTAAGCTCCCAGAGTCCTCTGGGCATACCTCTATCACTTACCACTTAACTGCTAACACGATTTGTCTTCCATCCCACTGGGCTAGAAATCTGGTTAGTCTGAGTTTGCATCTTACTTGACATTTTTATATCCTTACTTCTAAGCACAGTACCATTTGTTCACATCTGTTGTCTCGAAGGTTCTCAGTACCACATTTTTTCCCTTACTTTCTTTTCTTGTTCACTGTATATCTGCCTTATCCCCAAGTGCCATGAGGGTAGAAATCTTACGGGTCTTTTTCTTTTTTTACTTGTTCTTTTTTTTTTTTTTTAAGATTTATTTATTTATTTGAGAGAGAGCGCATGAGCAAGTGGGGGGAGGGGCAGAGGGAGAGAGAATCCTGAAGCAGACTCCCCACTGAGCAAGGAGCCAGACCCCGAGATCATGACCTAAGCCAAAACCAAGAGTCGGCTGCTTCACCTACTAAGCCACCCAGGTGCCCCACTGGTCTTTTTCTTTTTTTAATTTGAAATAATTTCAGACCCATAAGTTCAGAGAACCCTCTTCACCCACTTCCTAGTTGTTAATATGTTACATTTGCCATATGGTGTATCAGTTTCTCTTTAGGTATATGCACTGTTATGGACTGCAGTGTGCCTTTCCCCAAATTCATTTGTTGAATCCCTCACCCCAGTACCTTAGAATGTGACTGTATTTGGAAATAGAGCCTTTAAAAACAATGAAGTTAAAATGAGGTGGTTAGGGTAGCTCCAAATCCAATCTGACTGGTGTCTTTATAAGAAGAGGTGATTAAGGTATCCAGAGAGAGACAGCAGAGGTGTACTGCCTTAGGGAAAACCATGAGAGGACAGCGAGAGGGCAGCCACATGCAAGGCAAGGAGAGAGGCCTCAAGAGAGAACATGCCCGGCCAACACCTTGATCACGGACTTCCAGCTTCTAGAACTGGGACAAATAAATTTCTGTTGTTTAAGCTACCCCGTCTGCGATATTCTGTTATGACACCCTCAACAAATCAGTCTTTATACAGGTGACCCTTGAACCACATGGGTTTGAACTGCTTGGGTCCACCATGTAGAATTTTTTTCAATAAATACAGTAGAGTACTAGAAATGTATTTTTCTCTTCCTTGATTTTCTTGATAACATTTTCTTTTCTCTAGCTTAACTTTTTTTTTAAGATTTTATTCATTTATTTGTCAGAGACAGAGAGCACAAACAGAGGGAGTGACAGGCAGAGGCAGAGGGAGAAGCAGGCTCCCCAATGAACAAGGCGCCCGATGCAGGACTCAATCCCAGGACCCTGGGATCATGACCTGAGCCGAAGGCAGACACTTAGCCAACTGAGCCACCCAGGGGCCTCTCTCTAGCTTACTGTATTGTAAAAAAATATATGGATATAATACATATAACATAAAATATATGTTAATTGACTGTTTATGTTATCAGTAAGGCTTTTGGTCAACAGTAGGATATTAGTAGTTAAGTTTCTGGGGAGTCAAAAGTGATATGAGGATTTTTGATAGGTGGGGGTGTGCACTCATAACCCCCCTGTTATTCAAAGGTCAACTGTATTATATTACGCTATGTTATATTATATATATATATTTTCCTGAACCATTTGAAGACATGATGTCTCTATTTCTAAAGCCAAGTACATTCTTTTATGTAACCACAATATGGTTAGGTAAAGCAGTAAATTAACACTAATACCATGCTATTAGCTGATCTACAGACTTTATTAATATTTTGCCAATTGTCCTGTAATATCCTTTACAGCAAAGAGAAAGGAAAAAGAAAAATGAAATAAGGAGGGCGCCTGGGTGGCTCAGGTCATGATCCCAGGGTCCTGGGATCTCTTCCCCGCCCCCCCCCCAATCAGGCTCCCTGCTCAGCATGGAGTCTGCTTCTCCCTCTGCCCCTCACCCCGCTCAGGCTCACTCGCTCTCACTTCCTCTCTCTCTCAAATAAACAAATAAAATCTTAAAAAAAAAAAGAAAAATGAAATAAAGAGAAAGAAAAATAATTTTTTGGTTCCAAATCACACATTACATTTGTCATGTCTAGACTTCTCTAATCTAGAACAGTTCCTCATGCTTTGTTTTTCATGACTTTGACATTTTCAAAGAGTACGGGCTGCTTTTCTTGTAGAATGTCTCTCAGTTTGGGCTTGTCTGATACTTCCTTGTGATTAGATTAAAATCCACCAGTATATTCCAAAATTTCAGAAATATGGGTTTTTCCTAGACTGTTTTAATATTCCAGGTCTTTGTTCTCTCCTCTCAGTGTGTAAATGAAAAATCTGTAATAGTTTTTAGGGGACTTAATGGTTTAGGAAAAAATCACTTCATTCAATTTTCAGACTTGTGAAGAGTTAGGAAGTGACGTGCCCTCCTTAATGTGTCATATTGCGTGTCTGTTCCATTACCGATGGTGTTAAGTTTAATCACTCATTTAAGGCATGACTTTCAGGTTTCCCTGTTGTAAATTTACTATTTTCCCCTTTTACTATTAATAAGTATATTGTGGGAGAGATACTTTGACACTATAAAAAAGGGTAGCCAGATAAAATACAGGAAGCCCGGTTTAATTTTAATCTCAGATGACCATCGAATACTATCCTAATACAAGTATGACCCCTCCTCCTAAATTATTTATCTAAAATTCAAATTTAATTGAGTGTCTTGTATTTTTACTTGTAAGATCTGGCAACCCAGTAAGTACATACCTGTTCCTCATCCAGTTTCATCCAGTTGTTTTGACATCCATTGATGATCCGTTTTTACTATGATTTCGTCAAATAGTTTCTTTCTAACTCCATTATTCTTCTATTTGCCTATCTTTTTTCCATTTTTACGCTGCCTGGCACACAGTAGGCGCTCAGGTATTTCTGCAAGCAATGAATGAACAAACTCTCACTCGTGCTGGCCAGGCCTCCGTGACACCCGCTGCGTCGGGCAGGGGCTTGCCTTCCTCGGCCAATCTCTGCAGGCTACCCGGGCTTCCGAGCCTTCCAGGGCTCCCCTGCTGGCTCTTCTTGCTCCAATCACAAGCAGGGCTTTGCTGGGAAGTGGCCAATGGATGCGGGCGGGAGGCGGGGCCTGCCACGCGGCCGCGGTATAACTACACTGCCCGCGCGCGCGTTTCTCTCCTGGCGCGGACCTTGGCGCGGGTGATGGCAGCTGTTTCCGTCGTGTCTACGTTGGCCACCCGGCTGCTCCGGCCCGCTCAGAGCTGCCGCCTCCGTCATCGCCCCTTCCACCTCTCCGTAGTTCGGTAAGAGGGTCCTGGAGCTGGGTCAGCGCCGAAAACCGAAGGGAACCGAGGGTGGGGGGGCCGCCCGGGCTCCGAAGGGGCGCCGAGGGACGTTCTACCGAGCATCTCTGTCCCGGGCGGTGACGGGGCGACGTGGCAGCCGAGCGCGGCCGCAGTCTGCGACCTGAGCGCTCGCTCGGTGGGGCGGTCTGATGCCCGGAGCCCGCCTTTCAGAGGGAGCCGGTCTCCGCAGCCCCGGGGCGTCGCCCTCTCTCGGGGCCAGTCCGTAGGCGGGACGGGGCCCACCGTGCGGAGCGAAGGCGCAGGCGGGCTCTGGGGCGCCCGGATTTACGCGGGACCGTACGGAGGTTACCGGCCAGAACCTGCCGGCCGCCCTTGGCGGTGTTGCCGAGCCGCTTGGCCAAGCAGAGAATACGCTTCGGCGAGCGCGGGGAAGGACTCTGAATGAGCAGCCTCCAGTGCGCGTCGGGATCCTAGCGGCGGAGGAGGTTGGTGCAGTCTGACGAAATCCCAGAGCCGGCTTACTCGCCGGGTACCCGCTCTTCTCTCCTCCTTCGGGAGGTGGATGTGGCTCCCGCAGCTCTCCAAGCTGCCCCTTCCCCTACCAAGAGAATAAATGTGCTGGGGTCCCCAGGGCTTTGATGCGGTCCACCCGGAGCTAGTCACTGCCAGGCTGGTAAATTGAAGGGAAAAATACCCGAGGGGAGGAGGGAAGAGCTCTGTTTGCCTTTTCTTAGGGAGGTAATGGGTTTTTCCTGATCTTTCTAGACCTCAAACTCCCATTCTTAAACCTAGGTTGAAGAGTCTTCTGGGGGCCTGTGCTTTCTCTCCCTAAATCTGCGCACTCTCTCGCCCATCTTTAGAGCCTTTGCGTTGCCAGCGAGCTGAGCCCTGTAACAGCAGCCCCTTCTTTCATCTTGGCACTTGGCTAGGCTGTGTGAATTCAGGGATGATCATAAGTCCTCTTTCCTAGTGGAACTCCCTTAGCTGTCAAGGGGCAGAACACGTGTGTACTTTCCACTCAGTGTAAAAAAAAAAAATGTTAGAAACATTGCCAAGATGCTGTCGTAGCACAGAATGAGGATTAATGCGTTCTTGAAAGAGGACCCGGGTCACTCGGGGCTTTTCTTGTTCTGACCCTGACCTGCCTTTCAGCCCCATCCCTCATTACTGTGTGTTCTCTTCCCCGTTGCTCCCTTCCTGACTTCTGGCCACGTGTGCCTGTGGCTTTCATGATTGAAGAGATCTGTAAAGATCGTCTAATTCATCACTTAGAAAACTGGACCAGTTTGTTCACTCTCCAGTAACAGATGCCCTCCTTTCACTAACGTTTCTGAATGAACAAGTAGACTTCCACATCTCTGAAGGCAATACTATGGTATTTATGGTTTCCTTGTATTGCTTTGATCACTGCTAGCTAGCAAATGTAAAACAATAATATCTTTTATGAGTCTGCATGAATTCCTTTTGAGGGGGGAGGGTTTCAGGAACATAAACTCATGGTTGGAGAGAGAGTACTATAGTAGACTGGGGTATAGCGAAAAATGGACTTTGGAGGCAGAGGTTTGTTTGTGTTTGTATCTTGTTTCTACTGTCCTCACTTTCCCCTTCTGTAGTATAATAGTATGCTATTATACTATTATAATAATAGTATTATAGTTAGTATAATAACCCCAAGGTAAATGAGAATAATGTATGTAAAACTCATAGCAAAATACCTAGTGTTTAATAGATGTTAGTTCCATCCCCCTTTGTATGTAATTAATTAGTAGATAACCGAACCCTTTCCAGAATAACCTGATCATGAACTGTAAAATGCACCTGATAATTGTTTTTATGGAAAATTACAGTGCTGTCCGCTATTGAATTAGGAAAGCGAAGATGCTACTGAGCTGGATTTTGAATTTTATTTGAACAGTCCTTGTGGCTTTTTTCATCTGTTCACTCATTTTATTTTATTCTCATTCATAATTTTAACCCATTATTAAACACATCTGTGAAAAGCATTTAATTCCTACATAAGTGTTAGCTAATATAGTTAATAGTTTTGGATTCCCTGTGGGACTGAGCTGAGCCTCTATTTTTGTTTCTTTTGAGGTAGCAGTTACTTTATCTGCCCTTTGGCAAAAGAGATGATGGGAAATGAGGTAATGACTCACTGGCAGGACTGTTTAACATTTTGCAGAGTTGTATATGCAGAGGAGGGCTAAAACAGCTGATATTACAGAAGATACTTATTGTGTTGTTGCTTTGTTTTTGGTTCCAGTTGCTCTTTGACAGTTTTTTTAAAAGCTGATTGGTGTAGCATCCAGAACCTGCCTTTGGGACTTGGAACACTGGGTTCTCCCAGAACCCTGTGTTCTTAACTGTAGTAGATCAGTCTTAGCCCAAATGTGCTGCTACCATTTTGTCTAAGTTCATGGTTTTCAATTTCTTAAAAAATATTTTATTTATTTATTTGAGAGAGTCAGAGAGTGTGGGGTGGGGTGGGGGAGGAGCAGAAGGAGAGAGACAAGGGTGGAGCCTGACAGGGCCCTGCACACAACCCTGAGATCACCACCTGAGCTTAACTCACTAGCCACCTCAAAAGGAACTTTTTAAGGAAATGCGATTTAAGACTTTACTGAATATTTATATGTGTGTATATATGTTTACACATATCCTTATGAGTAAGTAAATATATATGTTATATATTAAGGATATGCGTGTGTGTTTATAAATCTAACCAACGGAAGAGAGGAAAAATTAATTTTTATTGAATATATATGCCTTGCACTTTATACATGTTATTTCATTCGTTATTAATCACTGTAGTAAACTCTTTTAAAGTAATCTTTCATTCTATAGCATTGCAGGGTTGGGAATATATTTCTGTACTGGGGCTATTTCCCAGGAGTGTTGCCAGAGGTGTTTGTGTCCAAAGCCCTTTGAATGAAGTCCCCTTCAACTCTAGTTTTAAAACTGATTTGTGAATGTTAACATGTTTTCAGTTCCTTAATATACCATGGGTGTATGTGAAATGCTATTATATATTTTGTGCTATGCTAGTATCATTACATAAAATTTGGGTAAAAGTGCTGTTTGCTATAAAATTTTATCTTTTTAAAACTCCCAAGATACAAATACAAATTAATATAAAGTTTAGATATAAAATTACTGCTTTAGGGCGCCTGGGTGGCTCAGTTGTTAAGCGTCTGCCTTCAGCTCAGGTCATGATCCCAGGGTCCTGGGATCGAGTCCCACATCGGGCTCCCTGCTCGGCGGGAAGCCTGCTTCTCCCTCTGACCCTCTCCCCGCTTGTGTTCCTGCTCTCGCTGTCTCTCTCTCTCTGTCAAATAAATAAATAAAAATCATTAAAAAAAAATTACTGCTTTATATATAAGACATTTCAATCTGGTTTAAAGTAGGTGTTTAATCTTAATGGAAAAGAAGCATGGAAGGTTTAAAGACTGTTGAAGCTTTAAAATTCCATTTTAGGGGTGCCTGGGTAGCTCATTCATTGTGTCTGCCTTCGGCTCAGGTCATGATCCCAGAGTCCTGGGATCGAGCCCTGCATCCGGCTCCCTGCTTGGCAGGGAGCCTGCTTCTCCCTCTCCTACTCCCCCTGCTTGTTTTCCCTCTCTCGCTGTCTCTCTCTCTCAAATAAATAAATAAAATCTTTAAAAAAGATAAAATAAAATTACATTTTAATTAACAGTGGTCTTTTTTTTAAAAGATTTTATTTATTTATTTGAGAGAGAGAATGAGGGAGAGAGAGCACATGAGAGGGGGGAGGGTCAGAGGGAGAAGTAGACTCCCCACTGAGCAGGGAGCCTGACGCAGGACGCGGGACTCGATCCCGGGACTCCAGGATCATGACCTGAGCCGAAGGCAGTCGCTTAACCAACTGAGCCACCCAGGCGCCCCTAATTAACAGTGGTCTTAAGAATGAATCATACCTGGGCGCCTGGGTGGCTCAGTTGGTTGGGCAACTGCCTTCGGCTCAGGTCATGATCCTGGAGTCCCGGGATTGAGTCCTGCATCGGGCTCCCTGCTCGGCAGGGAGTCTGCTTCTCCCTCTGACCCTCCCCCCATCTCATGTGCTTTCTCTCTCATTCTCTCTCTCTCTCAAATGAATAAATAAAATCTTTTAAAAAAAAAAGAATGAATCATACCTGGCTGGCTCAGTTGGTGGAGTGTCCGACTCTTGATCTCAGGTTTGTACGTTCAAGCCCCATGTTGGGCGTAGAGGTTACTTAAAAATAAAATCTAAAAAAAAAAAAAAAAGAATGAATCATATCTGACCATACAGGATATCAAGTACCTTGGTGTTATCCCTGAGAATTAAATATGTGCTATTAGGGGAAATTTTTTCAATATTTCAGACAACTGTGTGTTTCATTGGTCTTGAGATTGAAGCATTCTTCGTGATACTGAAGAAAGAAAGAAAACAAAAGGGAAAGATTTCTTTCCACTAGACCTTTATGCTAAAAGAGCAGTTGCTCATCCTACATTAAGTATTGGGAACTTTATTATAAGGCCATGTGTGGAAATAAGAAAACAAGGAATCTTCCACATTAGAACCCAGGAAGAGCTGCATAAACAGTTCTTATTGGGAAGAAGTGGTCTTTCAGAGATCGGAACATGGCTTTGGGAACTGGAAGTTCTTTTAGACCCTGAGTTTTCTCGTTGCCCATCAGTAGCAGTTTCCGCATCTCTCGCTCTGTCCTACCGTGAGTGTGACTGCTATTCTCTCTGTCTCTACTTTTTTTCTATGTCTGTCTTCAGCTCCTCCCACCAAGAGGTCCTCTGTGGTTCTAGTGTGTGAATGTGTTTCAGGGAGAAGCTCTTACCAGGGTAGTTTACCTGTTGCTCCTGTTGCTCTGAGCTTGTGCACCAACTGGACCACTGGCTGGCCTAGAAATTGTCCTTGGCGTCCGATACTCATTCCTGATCTGTCAGCTGTGGGTGGGCCACTGGGGTCCTGGGGTAGAGCAGCACACTGCCACCCATGGCATGGAACCTCCTTATTCTTACTGGGAAAGTCTTCTCCGGGAGGGGCTGTAGGGAGCAGTGGTAATTTTGAGGTTTGACCTGTCCAGAACATTGTCTGTTTGCTTAATTGCATAACATAATTTATATATTTGAAAGCATCATAGAAATTAAAAGCCAGGGGCGCCTGGGTGGCTCAGTCGGTGAAGCGGCTGCCTTCGGCTCAGGTCATGATCCTAGGGTCCTGGGATCGAGTCCCGTATTGGGCTCCCTGCTCAGGAGGCCTGCTTCTCCCTCTCCCACACTCCACCTGCTTGTGTTCACTCTCTTGCTGTCTTTCTCTCTGTCAAATAAATAAATAAATAAAATCTTGAAAAAAAAAGGAAATTAAAAGCCAATTGACTTAACTGGGAAATGGTTTGAAACACATGGCTGGATGCTAATAACATAGGCAAAACACAAACTACAAAATGGTATATAAGCATATAGGACACACTAACCTCATAGTGGTGACGGGTCAGATAAAACAATGCAAATTAAAACAGTGGAAAACTTTTTTGGGGGGAGGGGTCTATCAGTGTGTCAATGATCAGGGGTCCGGATGATGTAGCGGTAAGAGCCTGGACTCTGGATTCAGACTGAGCTGGGTATGAGGGCCAGCTTTGCCAAGTACTAGGTGTCACTCACTTAAGCTCTCCAAGCTTCAGGGTAATGATAGTATTTCAGTCAACGTTATCTCCCCAAACATGTAGCTGGACACAGATTTACCACTCTGAAACTGCCCTTCAGATTTCGTTGTCCCTCAGCTTAGGCACCATGTGTTTTAATCTACTCTTTAAGTTTGGAGTAGTTAATAACCTTTTTTTTTTTTTTGTAGTCAGATCTTTACTTTTCACAAAAATTTAAGCTATTTGCTTTTGTGACTGTTGTTGCCTTTTGCAGAAATGAAGCTGTTGTCATTTCTGGAAGGAAACTGGCGCAGCAGATCAAGCGGGAAGTGTGGCAGGAAGTGGAAGAATGGGTGGCTTCGGGCAACAAGCGGCCGCACCTGAGTGTGGTTCTGGTGGGCGAGAATCCTGCAAGTCATTCCTATGTCCTCAACAAAACCCGGGCCGCTGCAGAAGTGGGTATGTGTCACTCGCAGACCCTGGCTGCCGTCAAATTGCGGCAAACTCCATTGGCACTCATGAGTCTTTATTCTGCTTAGAAGACTCAAGCAGAGGAGGCTGATGGGATTGAACTGTATCCAAAATGTGGTCATAAAGAAATTAGGCCTATCTGCTGGGGAGGCTTATAGACTAGGATGGAAGGAATATGGTTGGTATTCTCGGTGTCTTCTGGAATATAAGCTAAATTCTGTCTTTAGTCTTAACATTAGACAAGGGACCTTGAACACATTTTATATTTGCTTTCCTTGACAGACATGAGAGTCTGGCTGAGATGTTTGAGCATTTGGCTGAGGAGGCCTCAGTGATGTGGCCTAGAAAACAGTCCTAGGTTTGAAGGAAATGACTGACTTCTGGGAAATAGCTTTTGGCTTCTCTACCAACTGGGTCCACAGCCAACTGAATGATGCAGTGGGGGGCAACTGGGTGACTCAGTTAGTTAAGTGGCCGACTCTTGATTTCAGCTCAGGTCATGGTCTCAGGGTCCTGGGATTGAGCCCCACATCAGGCTCCACACTCAGCAGGGAGTCTGCTTGAGGATTTTCTCTCTCTCCCTCTGCCCCTCCCCCTGCTCGCATGCTCTCTTTAAAATAAATAAAAATAAATCTTAAAATTACGCAGTGGTTAGAGTTTGGAATGCAAAAACTGAGGGTCTGGGTGATGGGAAGTTCGTGTTCGAGGTCTCGCTGTACCACTGACTCTGTGTGATGGTAGATCTGGGGTGGGTGGGCTTGGCTCTGCCTCTTCCTGCTCCTCTGCGGGTTGGTGGTATGAGACCTGGGTGCCCTTCCTTCTGAAAGGCTGTGAAACCACTGGGGTGGCTGGGCCATTGACTGGGCCGTGAGTCCTTGGTATCACAGGATTGAGGCCTCCTGCCCTTTTCTTTGAAAAATCTTTAGAAACTCTAGAAAATGGCAAGCTATGGCTTTTTAAGACACTGGGAGGAAGCACAGTGCAGTGGAAAGAACATGGACTCCAGAACTGGAAGGATTGCCTTCATCACTAGATGGCTTGTGTTTCAATTTTGCTGAGCCTCTGTCTCCTTTTCTGTAAATTGAGGCTCATGAGGATACTGTAGAATAATGTAGATAATTGTTGAGCCAACGTTCTCTAGAGTGTATATTTGTGAAGTTAATTTTTTAGGTGCCTTGGGAACTGACTGGGGCTTTTTAGCTACCAGGGTTGGGTATAATATTCTAACTCTTTGTTAGAATACCATGGCAGGTAACATAGGTTGCTCATTAAATGCCTCGATATTTTTTTTTTTACCTTGGAATTTTCTTATAGGAATCAACAGTGAGACAATTGTGAAACCAGCTTCAATTTCAGAGGAAGAACTGTTGAATTTAATCAATAAACTAAATGATGATGATAATGTAGATGGCCTCCTTGTTCAGCTGCCTCTTCCAGGTGAGTTTTGGGCTCTATCACTTAGAATGATTTCTGAGGAGTAGAGGATTCTTAGCTACTTTATTCACCTGGCCCCTCGTGGATCTGACTTAAAGGGGAGGTAAACTCGAGACAGTGAATATTTTACTAAGTATGCACCGACCTACTCAGAAAACCAATTACTAAAAAAAAAAAAAAAAAGAAAGAAAGAAAAAAGAAAACCTATTACTCCTTGACTCAAAAGTGACATCTTGATACAAAATGGCAGTGGAGGGAAGCAGTCGTACAAGAGGCTACTGCCTTTGATGCTGGCATTTGGCTTTGTCTGGTGTGTGTTCCTTCTGTGCAGACCAAGAAATCAATCACGGAGGCCAGTCATGGAAGGGGAATGGGTTTGTGCGATAAACCAGCTAAGCTGGAGTCAGGTGGTGCCAACTAGGTGACAGTGACCTCAGGCCGCTGCTCTGATCTCTCTTTCAGAGCACATCGATGAGCGAAAGATCTGCAACGCTGTTTCCCCAGACAAGGATGTTGATGGCTTTCATGTAATTAACGTAGGGCGAATGTGTCTGGACCAGTACTCCATGTTACCGGCTACCCCGTGGGGTGTCTGGGAAATAATTAAGCGAACTGGTAGGTATATCCCATAGTTGTATGTCTGTGTTAGGATCATGAAACCAGTACTTGCCAGTGGTAATAGTGCCTACAGTTGCGGAGTGGACACTTGGGCCCCACGTCTTCCACTCCTGCCTCCAGAGCCTGCCTCTCCTGTGGTTGCCTCTATTGACTTTGTTGCCACTTAATCCAGAAGCCTCTGCAAAGGAAACTTAAGGTTTCATTGGGTTGATAGTGCACACTCATATAATATTTTGTAGCTTCCAGGGTGCTTTCTCTCATGTTCTTTTAGTCTTCAGGATGTGTAGCAAGTGATGGGCCCCCTTGACTGTTGAGGTAACAAGCTTAGTAACTCCCTTCCTTATCACCGTTAGATTCATGTCCTAGGCCCTCTGTCTGCCTTCTTTGGTGCTCCTTCTAACATAGTCTGGTACTCCTTATATATATTTCTTCATAGGCATTCCAACCCTAGGGAAGAATGTGGTTGTGGCTGGGAGGTCAAAAAATGTTGGAATGCCCATTGCCATGCTGCTCCACACAGATGGGGCGCACGAACGTCCTGGAGGTAAGGAAATGGCTTTCAGAGGAGTGTTCCCTGCTCCCTTATGTGCGAACCTTTGCAGGGTGTCCTGTGTTTGTTAAACTTTGTATTTGTATTTGTTGTAATTTTGTTAGCAGATATTTGGGGAGTAATCTTTGTAGGAGAAGCTGAACTCCTCCTGTCACCTGAGACTATTTATATTCATTTATTAGGGAACTAGTACAGAAATGGATATGCCTCAGAAATATATTTGAGTTTTGAATATAAGCATGGTTGTAGGCAATTAGACATTTTCAGTTATGGCTTTGATAGTTTGAACTAAGAAACAGTTCATAGTATCCCATTCTGTGTCACTTGATAGAAAAAAACTTTTAAACCTTGAACAATTCTAGTGATATTTTGCTTAGGAAAGGTAAGATTCCTGAAAGACTGCTAAATAGGATAAGGAATAAATTTAATTTTAAATGATTCTAAAGGGTGGAGCTAGGATGAGGGGATAAAAGTTATAAGAAACTGGGTATTTACCCAAAGAATACAAACATAGTGAACCAAAGAGGCACCTGCACCCCAATGTCCATAGTAGCCAAACTATGGAAAGAGCCCAAATATCCATTGACAAATGAATAGATAAAGAAGAGGTGGTATATATATATATATACAATGGAATATTACTCAACCATCAAAAAAGAGATCTTACCATTTGCAACCTTGTGGATGGAACTAGAAGGTATTATACTAAGTGAAATAAGTCAGTCAGAGAAAGACAATTATCTTAAAGAGTTCACTCGTGGAATTTAAGAAACAAAACAGGATCTTAGGGGAAGGGAGGGAAAAATAAAATATGAAATCAGAGAGGGAAACAAACCATAAGAGACTCTTAACTACAGGAAACAAACGGAGAGTTCCTGGAAGGGAGGTGGGTGGGGGGATGGGGTGATTGGGTGATGGGTATTAAGGAGGGCACTTGCAATGAGCACTGGGTGTTATAATGTAAGTGATGAATCACTGAACTCTACTTCTGAAACTAATAATACACTCTATGTTAATTAATTGAATTTAGATTAAGAAAAAATAAGAGAAACTAGGTATTAATTGCTGAAAAGTACCTGGTACTTAGCTGTCCAGAAAATATGGTACACGAATTAAGTCAATTACTTCTTCAGAGATGGTGAATTTCTAAAATGGGTTGCCTAGTTGAGACCTAATTCAATCTCAGCTTTGATTCAGAAATCAAGACATGTATTTTTTAATTCCTAGGTGATGCCACTGTTACAATATCTCATCGATACACTCCCAAAGAACAACTGAAGAAACATACAGTTCTTGCAGACATTGTGGTCTCTGCTGCAGGTAAGAACCCCAGGGAGGGGAGGGAAGGGCCTCACCTCAGAAGGGTGAAGATAGACCTCTTATCTTAGAATTTGCCTGCCTCTGTGCCAACCCATTCACCATTCTTCTAGCGGTGATATTGTATGCGGCCCATAGAAATGAGGCAAGAATGATGCGTGCAGCGTTGGTTTCTGGCTTTCCAATCTTGACTTGATGGGTGAATGTTGCTTCAAAAACCTCTGAATATGTCTGTTTACTGTATGGAGTTTCAGTGGTTTCTTGACTAATGGTTTTTACAGGTTTTCATCAAACAAGCTAATTAGTTCTTCCAGGTCTCTTAAAATTGAAATCAGATAAGACTCTGACAAGTAGAATCTTCCTTTCAGAACTAGTGATCATTCCTCTCATTCCTCTCTCCGTTTGCAGGCATTCCAAATCTGATCACAGCAGATATGATCAAGGAGGGAGCTGCAGTCATCGATGTGGGAATAAATAGAGTTCAAGATCCCATCACTGCTAAACCCAAGTTAGTTGGAGATGTGGACTTTGAAGGTAAATGGTATAATTTTCTTAAAATATAAAATCAGTAAATACTACCTTTAATGGACATTTAGGACAGATCATTTACTTTTAACTTACGTTACTCTGGGGGTACCTGGCTGGCTCAGTCCGTGGAGCATGTGACTCTTGATCTCAGGGTTGTGTGTTTGGGGTAGAAATTACTTTAAAAAAAAATAAAACCATCTTATGTTACTGTGGTAATTCAAAACGCATTCCACATGAATTAAGAGAAACTTAAATTATAGTCATTCTAGAACCATTTTAATTGTTTATATCATAAAATTATGGGGACCGGGTACAAACTTTTCAGGGAGGTGTTTGTTCTTTCCTTAGGGTTACTTCATAATTAAAACGATTTCATCACTTTTAACATGTCTAAAAATTTAATGAGTTGACTTTCCAAAACCACTGAGTCTCCTAGAAGGTGTTACAGATTTATCATTTTCACATTGAGAGGAGAGATCACAGACCTGGAATGTTAAAAATGGTCCAGGAAAGAGCCACATTCCTGGATTTTGAAATATACTAGGAGATTTCTCCTTTCAGTTCTTAAGTTATCATGTTTATCTCAATTTTGGGCTGGTAAACCTATTTCTAGTTTTCTATTTCTAATAAAGCAATCAGACACAAGCCTAGGTATCTTAAGTATTTTTCCTTTAAGATTGGATTAGAAAAAATCTTACTTCTCACTTTCCAGAAAATTACTTGGCTTTGGTGCTTTGGGCAAACAGTATAGTTAAATAAATATAGTCAATAAATAGTAAATAAAAGAAAATGTTATAGGCAGGTATTAATTGGTAATATATTAATATTAATAATACAATAAATAGTTTTACCTCACATATAGTTAACCCATTGAGGTGTTCTTTTCAAACTGGTTTAATATGGAGGAAAAGTATAGATGGTAAGTTATAGGTTATTTAGATGTATAAATATTCATTGAACAACTCTTATTACATGCATGTTCTTTTTTTAATATGTTCAAAAGTCTTTACCCCTGAGTAATGTAGATAGGACTTTTTTTTTTTTTAATGAGTTTGAGGCTTACGAAGGTGCTTATGTATATTCTTTTTCTTTGAATGCTTTTTCCACGGTACATTAAGATGCATACATTTCCTTTGCCATAATTAAGGCAGTCTACCCATCTTGTTTCTATGTAGGAGTCAAAAAGAAAGCCGGTTACATCACTCCAGTCCCTGGGGGTGTTGGTCCCATGACAGTGGCAATGCTGATGAAGAATACCATTATTGCCGCAAAAAAGGTGCTGAGGCTTGAAGAGCGGGAAGTATTGAAGCCTAAGGAGCGTGGAGTAGCAACCAATTAACTGTTGTGTCTTCTGTCACGAACACCACTCCAAGCCGGTCAGAGAGGCGAAACAGGCCAATAGAAATGCAATATTTTTTATTTATTTTACTGAAATGGTTTAAAATGATGCTTTTTGTATTTATTGAAAGCAGAAACGAGGGGGTGTGCCTGTGCGCATGGCTCTGCCGTACCTCAGCACGGAGCATGCCGGCCTCCTGCTGGGTCATGTGAGCCCGCCAAGAGAAGCCGTTCACCTGGTGATGAACGTGGAGGACATCGTCCCATTAAGAGCAGGTGCTTAACTTGATCAAGCCACTTCAGTTAAAATTTGCCTTTTCTAGGATTGCATTTCCTAAGTGCTATTTCAATAAGAGTTGATACTCACTTTAGGTTCCAAGCCTTTTGAGTTCAACTGGTCAAACCAAAGGAAAAATGTTGCTAGAGAAAATTAGGGAAAAAGTCAAAAGGAAGAAATGATAATTGAGTAGAAAAAAACATTACTGTAACTTACATACCTATGGTATGTAAAACTAATTGTGAATGGATGGTGTCCTGAGCTGTCATTCCGTGGCTTAGTTATTGGGAAAATATTTAGGGTAGTTCCGCGTCAGTCCTCGCCCCACGTGTATTATATTCACGAGGCTTTCCCATTTTCCTCTAGGATTGAAAGGCTTATTTTATTTTATAGATTATTTGTGTGTGTTGTCATATTTGGCTTTTCCTCCATCCTTAAACTTCACTGTTACATCTTTGTACTCTTGGCGGTGCCTGTATGGTTTCCTTGGGATATCTTGAAACCTATTTTTGAAAAACAAAACTTGGGCTTGATAATCATTAGGATTAGGGCAGCTTGTTTAAGTATGAACTTACTTTTCCACCAAAGACTTGTCAGCAGCTGCCTGCTTTTCTCAGATGTATTTGGTGACTTTCCCCAATGGGTTTTTGAGAACTTGAGTTCACATTGAATTTAATCAGACTTTCTGATTAAAAGGGTTTTTTTTGTGTTTGTTTCACTTTTTTTTTAATAAAACACTTCTGACTGGTGTGGAATGAGTTCTCCAAAATACTGTATCTTCCTGCTACTGTCCTGGTTGTGACCTAAACATAGTTAATCTTTCTCATTAGATGTAATGGGTATCAATATTCCTATATTTGGTAACACCTAATCCTGTGCCTTAAACAAACTGATAAAAAGCGCAGCTGTGGAGAAACCAGTCTAGTCCTTTCAGTCTGATGTCCCAACAGGCTGTGCCAAGCTGGGAGCTTAATCTGTAAGATTCATTTAAGTGGTTAGGCTTATTCTGGGTGTTTTCTAAACCATGCAGTTTAGTTTACACATTGTTAGCTTTACAAAGGACTTGATGTGCCTGCTGACAACCCCCACCCCTTCAGGCGCCCCACTCTCTATACAATTATTTTTTCAATGTGTGTGTTTTATTTGACAGATTGGAAGGTATTTGCTGTGCATATTTTGAGGCTGGGATAGGCCCCTGTGTATTCTCTGTTCTCTTCCAGCGCTGAGTATTTTGGCTTCCAAGCAGACAAATCCTCCTGCTCCTGCTCCAGCCTGCTTCAGGTAGAAAGAAAAGAACAATGGGGAAAAATAAAAAAAAAAAAAAAAAAAAAAGAACAATGGGGAGCTGACTTCTCCTTGTTCTTCTGCCAGCAGCCTTTATGCTTTGGATAGTTACCTGGAGATGAAAGAGAATAGTTCGCTGGAGATGTTTTTTTTGTAAGTTAGGGTTAGCTCATGTCCGTATCCCATGTTTGCTGACTTGACCAAAATTACTAAACATGGAGCAAGATGAGGAGACAGGATTAAGTTTTATTGAATTACAGTTACAAGTGGAAAGAAATTCTGACCTAGTACATGGAGAAGTAACAGTATGTCCACCTGTTAAAAGTTGTCAAAATTAAAATGTTCATGTATATACAAAATATAAATGACATATAAGGTGAAAATTACAGTGATCAATTTACAACAACAGAAAATTAACATTGTAGTTTCCAACTTGTTTCATTAATCAAGCACATTTACTCCGGAATCCATAACATTTCTACAGTTTAATTTGGACAAAGTGCTATTGGAAATCAGCCAAGTTTTAAAACTGAAATGTTAAGGGTTGTTAGCTCCCCCAGGATTGGTGCAGCTGAAAATACAGAATTTATACTTAAATTCAGGTGATCGTTCTGGGTGAGTGAGCAGTTAACGGGAGAGGTTTAGAGCTTTACCTCTTGGCAGTATCCCTTGGAGGGAGCTCTGAGATTTAACTGAATGAACATGTAGTTTTCTAGGGACCAGGCACTGTATGAAGCTCTGAGGATCGCAGATGCAGTTAGCTCTCCTCGTGCCCTAGTGTCATTTGTCTTTAAAAAATAGAAAAGGATGAAGAAAAAAAGCACCTGCTTTGGTCATTGTGAGTAAATGAAGTAACTAACCAAAGTGATTTCCTCGAGATTCAAATCCATAGTTGTTCTGGAGAAAGTAAATGTCAGCTGCATTGTGGCTGTCAGGCACATAGTAGGTGTTAAACAAGCAAGGTGGGTGTTAAGTGGGGACTAAAGACAGACTGATAGTAAGTTTCATGAGGACAGGCTTTGCTTCTTATATTAATGAGTTTTAATCTACCCAACTTGTTTCCAATCATTCCTTTAAAGTACTAATCTAATACTGCAAAGTTATAATCTAATATTTTACATTAACACTGCCTAACATGCAGTGGTCCTGTGGATGGGAGTTTAACTTTGGGAGCAAGGTCATTGAAAACCTGGAGGCAGGACCTACCCAAGGGTAGAAAGAGGATCATTTTGTTGATGTAATGTGGTTGGAAGTTTCATTTGAACAAGAACAATCTTATTTTGCAAACATTTGCTCCCTCTCATGTATTGGTTCTTTCACCAGCTGACTTTGGGAACTGGCTTTCCAGTCTGGGGAACCTGCAGTCACACGTCTGTGCTGGCCCAGGGTGCACAGCACATGCAGATGGCACAGACCTGCCATAGGAGCCTCAGAAAGTTGCACGAGATGGGAGAAGATAGGGCCTTGTACACATTTCTTACTATGTCAAGTTGCAAAACAAATTTTCCAGCTGTGGTCTACTGAAGTATGAGTATTTTAATGGTTTTTTTCAAGACCATCTAGATATTTTAAAATCTAAGCTTAAAAAAAAAAATCTAACGGATATTCGTTTCAATAAAAATTTACTATTGCCCCCTTTATCTTAGCTATATTTTGGGAGGCAAGCATTGTTTTCATTTCAAGAAACATTATAATTTCTATCCTGGACTGCATTTTAAAATAAGGTATCATGTTTCTGTTGGTTTGCATAACTGCAGAAAGAAGGAGACAGCTTTGCATGTAAGTAGTACTTTTCATCCACACATCAGTTTTCTATCAAGTGGAATGACTCCATCTGTTTGGCAAATAAGGAAACTGGCTCAGAGAAGTTAGGGGTCTGGCCCAGACCTCACAGTGAAGATGCAACCATGTCCTCCCACAGTGAAGATGAAACCCTGTCTGGGCGCAGCTGCGTCCTAGAGGGTTGTCTCTCCGTCAGTTTCTCTTCCGTATCTGTCCACATCTGTGAAGTCACAGTCTGACTCCATTTCTATCTTCACCTGTGGCACCATGAACACTGGGCTCTGTGAATAGTTGAAAGCAGGCGAAGCTGGACAGGAAATTTTGAAGTGCAATGTGATGCTAAATAAGAAAAAGAGGGAAGGGAGAGTGATTTATCTAGTAGTTGGTGTTTTCCACGCTATCCCCCAGAGGACTCTAAAGCAAGTAGTTTTGTCCTTGCTTATGAACTCTTAACACATTATGGCAATGAGCAGCATCCTCTGCGCTTGGCCTTCAGCTGTGCTTACTGAGCTAGTCTCGCCAGAAGTGTCAGCCTGGTCTTCACATTGCTGCCAAGGCGAACTTTCTGGATCACAGATCTGTCTGTGATTCCCACCATTCAAGAGATGGAATCCAGGCTCCTTAGTGTGGCCAGACAGAGCCTTTTATGTTTGCACTCCTGATTACTTCTAGTTTGACTGCCCATCCAGCCCAGCAGTCTTTGCTATTTTCAAATAGTATTTCAGGCTTTTGTCTCTTTTCTTCTTTATTCTGTACACCTGGCAGGCTCCTATTTATCGTTCTTGGACTCTCCAGATAAGGCAGATCCCTCCCTTAGACACTGTCCTTCTCTTACATGTGCGCCATTGTTCTCAGCACACACTGCTGTATGTCTTTGTTGGCAGGCCTGTCTTTCTAGACCCCCAGGGATTAAGCATCATGCCTGGTAGATCTCGGATGCTTAAACTAGATCATGTTGCTGAGCCTTTTCCTTCACTGAAATGGAATCCTGTTCAGTGGTCTCTGCTTCCAACTACTTACATAGAGTTGGTAAAACACCAGTGTAGCTGTCCCATGTTTGTATATGGAAATGCCCCATCCTGGTCCGTGTTTTCTCTCCACGGACTGAGATTGGGGCAATGAGAGGTTCAGTTTGGTGTAGGCTACTTAAAAACGAAAAATCAGGATAGACTGCTTTTCTCCCAACACCTTTATATATAAAAATCCGTGGCATTCATGTAATGGTGTAGGAACCGACTGGGGAGGTGGGATAAGAAAGCAGGCAGGGATGTAGTTTGGATGCGTGACCCTCCTGGGCTGGAGTGGCCTTGGGTCCACTGCTTAGGGGGGCTTGTTACAGTGTCTCTCTTCTCATCCTGGCAAAGTGGTAACAGCTTTGACTTCTAACTCAGACGATCTTGTGCATGTTTTCTAAAATCTCTTGGATGAGTGCATCTAAGTCTGCAGGTTTATCTATCTGTAGACTTGGGATAGCTTAAGCCTTTGCTCATGTGTGATGTAGTACAGTGATTCCCATCCAGTTTAGGGCCCTAGGTAGGAGCACCCTACCATCTTCCCCTGTAATAGCTGAGGCTGACTTTCTTGCCCCTGGATTTCTCTACTATTTTTGAGCCTGCCTTGTTTTCAGTCATAAAGTTGTCCACTTTTCTCATGGCTTCTCATTAAGAACACTAAGGTATCACAGTTGGCACGGGGGCCCCTGGAAATGGTCTGGAATCCTTTCTTAACTATTCTCTCCATTTTTTTTTTTTTTTCTAAGTAATCTCTACGCCTAACCTGGGGCTTGAACTCACGGCTTCGAGATCAGAAGTTCCACGCTCCACTTAATCTTTGATATTTAGTTAGGTTTCTGACCTTTGCTAATTAACCATGCTGTTACTTTATTCCACATACTACGGGAGTACCTGGCGTTTTGATCTTTGAGCTCATTTATCCTGGCATTCAATAATACATACTTAAGTCATGTGTAGTTTTTCTCTGTTGTTTTCCCCCAGTGTTTTCAATTTTACGTATTTTGTAATTTCCTTTTCTAAAGTAGAAGACCTTTGTAAAATCATGTCATGTCAGTAAAAGGACACATTTGTTACTTGACGCCAATAATCAGGTCTGACCACCTGTCTCCCAAGGTGGACCAGCAAAGGCCTTTTACGGAGACACTGGCTAACCTGGGAAATCCTAGTCCCTCCGCCTTCCTGGCCACTGCGTAGTCTCTTACCTAATACCCAAGGAGTCTACCTCATGGCCATTACCTCCGGTCAAGTTCTGAGTCACTGAAGGAAGAATCAGAATGAGTAACTCCAACTGGAAGATCTTTTTCCTGGCAGGAAAATTAAAACGTCAGTTGTAGAGCAAGTTTGAGGAGGACACTGGAGAAGACCTTTCTCCAGTGCTTCCCTCTTGTCTTCCTGTTCTCTAATCCCCACAGCCAACACTACACAAGAGGAAATCAGGATGGATGGCTTCTGGCTCAGTTACTCCTTCCCCAGAGGGCTCTCAGCCAGGATAGGTGGGTATTGGGGAGGGCCAGGGCAGAGTAAGGAAGGGTGATGGAAGAATACAAATGGGAAGGGGAAGGAAGGAGAGTTAGCAACTAAAAAAGAAGAGGTACTAATGACGGAGAGTGTGAGGGGAAGCCCCTCAAGGGCCCTGGCAGGATCCTAATCTGGGTCTTTTAGGAAAGTTTCAAGCCCTATGTTAGGAACACCGAGGTCAGGACTCAAGTGGGATCTTCCTGATTATTCCAAGGATAGGCTGTGGTCTTGATGACAGGACTGTCCTCTGGTGGGGTGCCGAAGCTCAGAGGGGGTAAAGGCAGCCATAGAACCCCCCAGGATCTTCGTGAGCAATGCCCGATCCCTCCCAGGCAGCCTTCCTTTCAGCAGGAGGAACTTTTCTACGACCTTCCCTGCTAATTTATGATCCAAATGCTATGCTACCAGTTTCTCTAAAGGGGACAACTCAGCTTGGCTTTGAACCCTTAATCATTTTCAACAACCACTGGAAAGGCTGGGAGGCTCAGCGGGTCATGTTTGGATCCATGTGGTCTGAAACCATCGAAGAGAGGGCCAGGTGGCTCCACAGGCATCAGGAGGCACCAGGGGCAGGGGCAAGGAAGGAATGAGGGGCTCTGCCTAAATGGAAGTGAAACTTGATCACAGGCACCTGCAGGGTTTGATTTGGGGATTCCATTGGTTGAAGTCTGAATCCTTGTGGCCCAGTTCTCACTTAACTCTGCCTACCAGAGGAGTCCTCTAGCATCTAAGACCATTCGGTCCCCCTGAGTTGGAGATGGAAGTTCCTTGGAGGAAGAGGTGGAGAATTAGTAGTAAGTAGGAAGGGAGAGACACCATGTGTTTTACTTACTGGCAATGCAGTGGATACCATTTTGGGGATCGGATTGGACACTTTCCATGGGAATCTTTATAACTGAGGGAGGAGGGAACTGGGGCTGGAGAGAAACAGTGGGAAAAGCTGATAAACACCACCAATTCAACAGCTTTGACTTTCTTGCCAAGATGGAAAATACATGCATCCACAATGTGCCAGCCACCATCCTATCTCCAGTCTCAACAGTTAGGGGTGTTGCAAGTACTCTGGGGCTCACTGAGGGCCAATCACAGTTAGCCTGCTGTCCTAAACAGGACAGAACTCTCCCAGGAACATTATTGATCGGAACAATTTCAACTGTCATAGTAACCAATCAGGAGTGAGTCTCACACAATAGCTGGTGTTGCTGTAAAGACATGTGTAAAGTGGATTTGTGAAAATTGAATCCCATTTTTCCATTGAATATATCATGCTTTTCCCCAAACCTGGAATAGTTCCTGGCATGTAGCCACTCACATATTTATTGAATGAATCAATTAAAGAGTATTTGTCTTTAAAAGGCACTTAGACTCTCAGTTTCTTTGTTCTCAAGGCCTGTCTTTGCAAACCATCTAAATCATCAATGAAAAACGTGAATGAACGATGGGCCTCTTCCTCCCTGGAAGAGGAAAGCAATTAAGGACCAGGGGAGTTTGGAGTCTATCACTACCATCAGAAGATGGTTTGATTGCCACCAGTCAGCAAGGATTTGCCTATGGACAGCTTTGATCTGCAAAAGGCAAAATCACTAGAACAGTTCCAGGTGGATACCAGGGATGTGGGTTCAGGTCAGACCTGGGAGAATGGGAGCCAGGCATGTTGCTAGACGGCATGGGCAGCTGAGCATATTGGAAATGATCAAAGTCAGGAACAGAGGGCACCTGGCTAGCTCAGTTGGTTAAGCATCTGCCTTCAGCTCAGGTCATGATCTCAGGGTCCTGGGATCGAGCCCTACATCTGGCTCCCTGCTCAGTGGGGAGTCTGCTTCTCCCTCTCCCTCTGCCCCTCTCCCCACTCTTGCTCTGTCTCTCAAATGAATAAAATTTAAAAAATTTAAAATTAAAAGTCAGGAAGAGTTTTCTTCATTCCCTTTAGACATTTAGCCATATGTCCATCTTGGGTGAACCACTTCCCTTTTGGAGGATCGTTTCATCACTTGTAATAAGCACTTGAACTAGACAATCTTTCTGTTCACATTTTGTGATTTACTCTAAGTTGGACTGGCTTCCTGTCTGTTGACTCCCTGAGTGTTTTGGGAGTGGGATGAGGAGGAAGCATGAGAGAAGAGTAGATGGGGCGACCAGGTGGTCCCCAGCATCTGGGCAATGTAGCCACTCTCCTTTCAGTGAGGACATATGCCTCTCTGCCCACCTTCCCTAATACCCCAGAGGCAGGCCAAGCAAACCTTGTTCCCAGTCCTTCCACCTGTCCCGGAGTCTAATCTACTAATTGGTGCCCATCAGACTCTTCCCCCGAGACCTGCTCCATTCTTTGGAGGTCAGTCCTCATAACCTCCCCCATGATGGAGCTGAGTCTTCTGCCCTGTTCCACCAAGGACCTGCACAGCTTGTTGATAACAGCCCCCGGGAGCTCACAGAAATGGGAAAGAATGGGTGTGGCAACCAGCCTTTCCCTGGGTTGGGGGTGGGAACTCATTCACTGTGGTCCACCCTGAGGATATTCCCATAAGCAGATGAGCTCTCAGCACCCCACACCAACACAGGCAGAAGCCTCAGCTCATGCCAGACTAGGCCCAGGTGATCATAGCTGGCCACCCAAAGAGCCCACCCTCTCCCTGGCCTGGGCAGAAGTGGAAGGAGGGTTTCTTGATCTCTTCCCTCAGCCCTGGCCTCACATCCTCCCCACCTCCTCATCACTGTCCTCATGGGCCCCTTTCCTTCTCTTCTTCTTATCTGTCTCCTTCTTCTCCTTCTCTGGAAGGATGTTGTCAATCCAGGCCAGATCATGCTGGGAGAAGATGAGGTCCAGAAGCCTTCGAACGATGATGAGGCCTAGGATCTGTGGTGACAGTTCAGAGAAAACCATGAGCTCAAGGCCCCAAACTCACACATTGTTTTTTCTTCCTCAGTCAGCTATGTTTAGGGACTTCATCTGGTCTCTTTGGAGCCATCTCAGAGCTCCGACAAATGACCATTTACCACCTGCCCGCTTGGTTCCTCTCGTCTGGCCTTTCCTCAGTTGAGTGGCAAAGCCTACCAATGAGCCAGGGAACAGAGCCTGTGACAGCTGGTTGGGAGCCAGGTAGAGACTAAGGGCTATAGAACTCCTACAGTTATTCTTTAAATCAGTGATCCTCAAACTTGAGCTTCCACCAAAACACCTGGAGGGCTTGTTAATACACATATTGCTGGGGGCTACCCCCAGAGGTTCTGAGTCAGCAGGTCTGGGTCTGGGGCCTGAGAATCCGCATCTCTAACAAGTTTCCCAGGAGATGTTGATACTTCTGGATCAGAGATCACGCTTTGAGACCCACTGTCCCTCTGTCCTTATTTCTGAGAGCTGCCAATCTCTCTGTTAACAAGTATAAAGTACACTGAATAAAGTGTACTGGGATATCAGGAATTTTTACAGTAAAGTCTAGAAAGTTTGGTTCTGTTCAGCATACACAAAGGGAAAAATGTGTGCTTTGGGGAAGGATTAAATACTGGCCTTTTTAATAAATTCAATGGGCCCAGGGTAACTAGTTATAAATATTGCCCCTTCACTACCAAGAACCGGCCACTAAATGAGGTCAGGGAGAAAACCAGCCAGCTGGATTTAACTCTGGTTCCTCACTGACCTGCTTCTTGGGAGCAAGCAGAGCTTGAGAGCTGGACAGACCTGGGTTTTAAAAATCCTGGCTCTGAAAACAAATTAGTGGTTGCTAGGGGTAGGGGTGGGAAGAGGAGGCACTGTCTGCATAGAAATGGCAGGGGGTGGGAGGGTGCCTGGCTGGCTCAATCGGTTAAGTGTCCGACTCTTGATTTCCGCCAAGGTGGTGAGATCGAGCCCCCTGTCGGGCTCTGTGCTAGGCATGGAGCCTGCTTAAGATTCTCTCTCTGTCCCTCTCCCACTTGCTCCTGTTGTCGCACATGCACATGCACACTCTTTCTTAAAAAAAGACAAAAAACAAACAGAAATGGCGCGAGGGAATTTTAGGCATGACGGAACTGTTCTGTATCATGACTGTGGTTGTGGAACCACTAATCTGTGCATTTGTCCAAACTCACAGAACCACAGAGTGAATTTTACTGCATGTAAATTAAAAAAATCAATATGGGGAGGGTATGGATCTTGGCTCAGCTCCTTCTGGTTGTGTGGGTTGGGTCACTCACACATGCCCTCTGAGCCTCAGTTTCCTCACCTGTAAAACAGGGTTAGTAGTAGTACTTTAAGGCTGCTGTGGATTAAATGAAACAGCACCCCTTGTTATCGCTAAACCCGATGAGGGCCCTACTGGGGAGGATTCATTTCCCTTTCCTTAAAGTGGTGGTTCTCAACCTTGACTGCACATTTATGCCCACCTGCAGACTTATTACAGACACCAATGCCTGGGTTTCCCCAAGAGATACTGATTTAATTGATCTGGGGTGAGGCCTGAGCACACAGTTTTAAAAAGCTCCCAAGTGATTCTAATGGTCCCCCAGGGTTGAGAATCCCAGGTGGGCACATTTCAAATCCTACCTCTGTGTACTCACTTGGGCCCCCAGTCCAGCACTGCAGGCTTTGGGGCCCACCCAGGGCTTTCCCGAAGCATTAGCTCACAGGCTCCCACACCATCCCCCTGCACTGCCCCCCTCTCCCCGCTCTATCTGGCCTGGACTCACGACCCGAATCTTGTTCTGTTCTGTGCTTGCTTCTGTGACCCTGAGAGAGTCAGGCCATCTGCGACTGCAGACCTACCCCCTAGAAACGCCTGCCCAGGCCCCACCGGCCAAGCAGAATGGAGAGCCCGCGCCCACCTTACCATGACCGGGAAGATGATGGCAGCCATCGTGGACTTGAGGATCCAGAGCACCGCCAGGCAGAGTATCTGCACCAGTGTGAAGAGGTGGATCCGGCGCAAGGGCACGTGCCGCAGGAAGGCGTGGTCCGGCTGGTGCTTGGCCGGCATGAGGAAGAGCTTGCAGCGTTCCCAGAACTGGCGGAGAGCGCGAGGCTCAGCCAGCAGTGGGGACCCCATGAGGGAGGTGGCCCTGCTGGGGGCTTGGGACTGCGGGAAGGAGTGATGCGGTGGGGTCTCATAGCAGGTAGCCCCTTGTCTGGACTAAGAGTGCACAGGAGGGGGCCTGCAGGTCTAGGAGGACACATAGGGAGCCCTTAGGGGAGGAGGCCTGAACCCTGCCTGCAGGGTACAGCCCTGGAGGCGACCACAAAGGAATACTAACCCCCATTCAAGGAAAATGCAACTAATTGCAACACAAAGACAGCAAAGACATCTGGTGTATCATGCTAAATAAAGAACAAAACAAAATGTTTTCTTCCGCTGGAGTTGCCTTAGAGAAGAAGAGAGATGTACTGAAATGCTCATTGGAGTCAGCCCCATCAGGGTTGTGAATCCTGAGCCTGTTTCCTCGTCTGTAAAATAGGGATCATAAGCACCTACTTATACAGATTTCATTACAGAACACCTATGAAGGGCCTGCTATAGTGATTTTACTTGATACACAGTAAATGGTAGTATCTTTATCACCATTATTCTCCCACTGAACTGTGGAAGCAAGCATTTGGGGTTTCGGTAATATGGCAGCAGATGTGGGGAGTTGACTCCAGTCAGATCAGCCTGGGGCTCAGTCGGGTGGGGAGAGCCTTACCTGGATGCCATTCAGGGAGGCCACGCCCATGTAGAGGAAGACTCCATACAGCACGGGCATGGGGATGTACTGAAATGAGAGAGGGAAGCAGAGCTTTCGACTGGGTCTCTGCCCAAGGCAGGCTGTTGGCCTCCCTGTTCTGTATGACAGAGTCTGCCAAGTCACAGAGGCAGCCTGGCCTGCCTTAGCTTTCCCCAAGCCATGAAGGAGCTGGATGTTTAGGGGAACTGAGCCTCTGAGAGTACATCTGGAGCCAGTGTCGGCGGGGAGGGCTGCCCTGCCCCCTTCTCTCTGGGCAGTGGCTCCCCCAGCCTGGCCGCCCTGCTTGCATCCCTGCTGAAGCCGTTGGGTTTGACTGAAGACACAACTTCTGGAACATGGGGAAGCTGCATAGAAAGCCCCCTGCTTATTCTTGTCAGCTCCTTCCCCCTTCCAACCCCAGCTGAGGACGCCCCACAAAGCTTCATTGCTCTGGGGACCTTTATTGAGCTGACCTCCATCAGCATAGAGTAGGTGCTGATTAAAAATTATACACCCTACACAATCGGATTAAAAAAAGAAGCAAAACAGATGTGTATAGATAAACCAACCACCACTAATTGCCAACTAACCGCTAATGATTTGGTGGGCATCTTTCCTTTCTGATCATCCTCACAGGTAGTTTGTTAGCTTTTTCAAAAATGGGACCATATCACTCATACTGTTCTACAATCATCATGACTCTTTAGAAGCCTTTTGATGTATTTCTCTACTGTCTAAGCTGTGTTTCTTTCTTTTTTTTTTTTTTTAAAGATTTTATTTATTTGACAGAGAGAGAGAGCGAGAGCAGGAACACAAGCAGGGGGAGTGGGAGAGGGAGAAGCAGGCTTCCCACCGAGCAGGGAGCCCGATGTGGGGCTCGATCCCAGGACTCTGGGATCATGACCTGAGCCGAAGGCAGACGCTCAAAGACTGAGCCACCCAGGCGCCCCTCTAAGCTGTGTTTCTGCTTCTTTCATCCTGCCCCCCCCTTTTTTTGAGAGAATGTGCATGTGTGAGCGGGGGGGGGGGGCAGAGGGAGAAGGAGAGAGAGAGAATCTTAAGCAGACTCCATGCCATGCCCAGCATGGAGCCTGATGTGGGGCTCAATCTCACAACCCTGAGATCATGACGGGTGCCGAAATCAAGAATTGGACGCTCAACCGACTGAGCCACCCAGCAGCCCCTCCTCCTTCCCTTTATCTGCCCTTTTGGCTTGCCACTGTGAACAAGGCTCTGCCTCGATTCCAGGGTGGTCATGTTGGAACATGTGGGCAAATACTAAGTCCTGTGCTCAACTTTTAGATGCCACTTAGGATGTCCATAAATCCAACCAAATAAGTAACCTTTTTAAACATAAGTTAGACTGGGTTCATTTTTTAAACCCAAACCATGATTTGGACCCATATGCTGTAAACCTCAATCCAAGACATTTGATCTTAAAAAAGGGAAATATTTCAGCCTTCCCATATGGTTTGAAGCTGAGACCATGAGAACAACTCATGGGGCTCAGAGGGGGGGCTTCTGATATGGCCAGGGGTACCCCTGAGGCAGAATGCTGAAATCCACAGTCCTGAAGAACAGTGGCAAGGTGCAAAGCATAACATGAAACAAAACAGGACAACCCTTCATGGCTCGGGAAGGACAGGGGATCTGCAGAACTGAGTGGGCAAGGTGTTCATGCCACCTGTCAGATACATGGCCATGTCATCCTCCAACGCCCTCAATTTGACAAGATAACCAAAGATTTGCAAATTGGTGGTGACAGGGCTGAAGATTATCACTGATCCTCTAGGAGTAAAAATCACTGTGTCTAAATCAGGGCAACCATCCATTGAGAAAAAGATTTCATCCCTTACCGCTCAAGGTGTGGTCTTTGGGCCAGCATTATTGGCATTGCCTGTGAGCTTATTAAAAATGCAGAATTTTGGGTCCTACCCAGACCTACTGAATCAGTATCTTTTTTTATTAAGTTTTAATTCTAATTCCAGAATAGTTAACATACAGTGTTATATTAGTATCTTTAATAAGAATCCCAGGTGATTTTTTTCATAGATATATATTTTTTTCACATATATACATATATATATAAATTGTATATACAAAGAATGTGTGTGTGTCTGTGTATATATACATATACATATTTTTTTTTTTTTTTTTTGAGAGCCCAATGCAGGGCTTGAACTCATGACCCTGAGATCAAGACCTGAGCTGAGATCAAGAGTTGGGTACTTAACCGACTGAGCCACCCAGGTGCCCCTCCGAGGTGATTTTTATACACATTAAAATTTGAGAAGCCTTAGAGAAGAATTCTACTGGAGGAATTGGACAAAGGTATAGTTAATAACTAATTTAGGAACATTGATAAAAATAAAAACACTAATAATTAGGATCCAATTCGTACCCTCTAAAATTTGTAGCACCAAAGACATCTCTCCACTGTTGGCTATATAAACAAGAATTAAAGATCCAAGGTGTCTGGGTGACTCAGTTATGTGTCCAACTCTTGATTTCGGCTCAGATCATGATCTTAGGGTCCTGGGACTGAGCCCTGCGAAGGGCTCCATGCTCAGCAGTGAGTCTGCTTGAGAATTCTCTCTCTTCCTCTCCCTCTGTTCCCCCCCCAATAAATAAATCAATCTTAAAAAAATTAAAGATCTCAACTAATGTCTTAGGTAGACAGCTCTCCAATATAAGTTCTCTGAATCTGGTATGTACTCAGCTATGCCTAATTTGACAGACATGGGTAAACCTACCATTGCAAAAAGTTAAATAAGCTGTCTGGAAAATATATTTTTTACAATGGATGGTTGTACTGATTCAGACACAGTGATTTTTTTTTTTAAAGATTTTATTTATTTATTCATGAGAGACAGAGGGGGAGAGAGAGAGAGAGAGAGAGAGAAGCAGAGGGAGAAGCAGTCTCCCAAGGAGCAGGGAGCCCGATGCGGGACTTGATCCCAGGACCCTGGGATCATGACCTGAGCCAAAGGCAGACGTTTAACCATCTGAGCCACCCAGGCGCCCCAGACACAGTGATTTTTACTGCTAGAAGATCAATGATAATCCTCAGCCATCATCACCAATTTGCAAATCTTTGGTTATCTTGCCGAATTAGCAGTAGTGTCAAAATTAGTACTGGTGTCAGCTAGTGATAATGCTTTAATCACTTAACTAAAACAATTTTGAAAGCCAATCTTTTTTTCTGTTGCTGTTGTTAGAAATGATTTTATTTTGCTTGGTTAAGATGGAAGACATCCAGATAGTTGTCAGGTTGTGACGGGGAAGGTCTGCCTCAAGGATACTTGAGCTCTCATTCCCAGGAGTTTTGGGTGGATTCAGTCTCTGAAGAAAGTATGTGCAAAGTTGTTGACTTCCTCTGAAAGCCTATCTTTATAAAAAGGTGTAAAAATATAAATAAACAAATAAAATGAAAATATATACCTTATGTACTTTAATACAATCAAATAAGAGGGGCACCTGGGTGGCTCAGTCGTTGGGCGGCTGCCTTCGGCTCAGGTCATGATCCCAGGACTCTGGGATCGAGCCCCGCATCGGGCTCCCTGCTCCGCGGGAAGCCTGCTTCTCCCTCTCCCACTCCCCCAGCTTGTGTTCCCTCTCTTGCTGTGTCTCTCTCTGTCAAATAAATAAAAAATCTTTAAAAAAAACAAAACAAAAAAAACAATCAAATAAGAAATCCTAAATCTTACGATCAATAAAAATCTAGACAGGTCTTCTCTGTTACAAAATTTATCAAATAGATTAATTGGTGGTGAATAAAATATATTTTTTCTACACTTATTATAAAAGAACACAGGTAGGATTTTTTGGGGGGGCGTAGGATTTTTCAAATCATTTGTCATTGAATACAAAAGCTGTATCAGAGCCCTTGGAGCCATGCGGACTCATGGAAATTTTTCCATGATGGCCAGAGTAATAATTAACATTTCCCCATATCTGGCTTCAGAAGAGACCAAAGCTAGTGACGCTCTGATCACAAACTTCCAGGCTCCGGAACTGTAAGAAAGTAAGTGCTGTTGGAGCTGCCCAGTCTGGGCTATTGTATGCGGCAAATGAACACAACAGCTAAGTGGCTGAACTGGAGAGATGGAGAAACCTGAGCAGAAAGAGTATTCGGGGACGCCTACTCTGAATTACCCTCATTTGATTTCGTCTCTTCCATTTGGTCTGGAGGGATGTGAGCCAAAGGATCTTCAAACTGTATGGGGGGGAAAAAGTCAGTTTTGTGCCCAAGACATGCAAGACAGAGGAGCAGAGAACAGGGCACAGGAAAATCTACAGAAACATTCTCCTCAGAAGTTTGAAACTTCAGAAAACAGGTGAGCAAAGAGATGTCTAGTGAGCCATAAACCACAATGTGGAGACACAACCAGCTCGGGAAGCTCCTGATCTAAGCAAGGATGGAACTTGGCGAAGGATGCCTGGGTGGCTCAGTCAGTTAAAAGTGTCTGCCTTTGGCTCAGGTCATGATCCCAGAGTCCTGGGCTCAAGTCCTGCATCAGGCTCCTTGCTCAGCGGGGAGCCTGCTCCCCCCTCTGCCTGCAGCTCTCCCTGCTTGTGAGCACTCTCGCTCTCTGACAAATAAATAAATAAAATCTTAAAAAAAAACACAACAGGATGGAACTTGGCCAAGCTTTCTGAGGGAGGAGCATCTCCAGAAAGGGGAGGATGGACTGTGGGAGGAGTGGAAAGAGCAGTGAGGATTGCCTGGTGCTAATAAGCGATGCAATGTTCCAGAAAACAAGGACGGTGGTGAAACATCTCTTTGGGTCCTGCCTCCTTAGGGTCCACATGGAGACCCTCTCCCCACCTCTGAGGCATCAGGCCAGTGCTTTCTTAGGTGGATGGCACCCTGGTGGAGGGTGCAGAGCCTCACCTTCAGGACAGGAGCCAGGAAGACGGAGATGCCCGTCAGGATGAAGACAATGGTGCCGGTCACTCTTTGTTCCCTGGCAGACAAGGGCACATGGTCAGGGTGGACTAGGAGATGCCCCCTGACCATTCTAGCCCACTGGCCCTCTGTGTGCACCTAATGGTTGTGTCCACGCCCTGGCCCTGCCCTAATCCCCCCATTCCAAGAGAGTAAACCTGCTGCCTGAGGCCCAGCTGACCGGCACATGGGAAGAGAGGGAGCCTTGACTGAGGCAGTTGTAGGGGCGTTTGGGAGGCTGTCCAGTGCAGTGACTAATAGTAGAGGTGCTGCCACCAGACTGACCTGGGTGTGGCTCTGCCACTCAGTTGTGTGGCAACAGGCGAGGCCCTAAATGTCTTCAGCCTCAGTAGAAGCAAGATAGTGGCAACTGCCTTGGGAGTTGTGAGGATGAAATGGGTATGTGCACTGCTTATGATCCCTGCCCTTCAACTGCAGGAAGAGCCTTCGTCTGTGGGGCATGACTAAGAGGAATCAGAGCGAGGGGGCCCGGCTGCTGGCAGAGTAGGGGGGGGAGGGGCGGGAGAGTAGGTATGTTTTCCTGAATGCCCAGGCCCAGGCCCAATCCAGGTGAGAGCTGGGGGGTCAGGGGCAGGTTGCTCAGGCCCAGTCCTCTGGGGCTCAGGAGTCCAGGAGGGGACCCTGCCTTGGCCAGAGAAGGTTCATCCGGCACAGGCTGTGTAGCCTGGGTATCCCAAGGCAGTGAGGAAAAACTCTCTGGACAGCCAGTGTCTGGTGTGGGCTCGCCTCGGAGGCCCTAAGAGGTAGAAGAGGCATGTGGCTGCCGATAACAGGTGGGGGAGCCGACACGGGCATGAGAGGAGGAGGAAGGCATGGAAGTGACAGGCCATGGGCCACATCTAGGGAGTGGGAGTGGTCCTGGGAAGACTCTCTGGAAGAATGGAGACTGGGGAGGAGGGCCTGCACCCACAGGAGGGGTTGGGGGACGGTGGGGGCAGGGGGTCTTGAAGACGAGGAGACAAAGGGACAGGTCACAGGGGCCGTGGGGACATTGAGTAGCCCATGCAGGTAAGAGGTCAGCGTGCACGCGGGCCATGGTGGTGGACTGCTTGCAATTCATTACCAAAAAAGCACCACTTAGAACTGACTTTTCGTCTCCCTCCCTCTCCCTTAGGAATATCACTCCTATCCTTGCAGTTCCTGGGCTGTCAGATAACTTGATGGTAAGAAAAACCTGCTTCCCTTCCCCCAACCTAAACACCCCTGCTCAGGTGGTCCCCAGTCACCGCTCCCCACCTACCTGACCCCCAGGAACTGGGGCTGCTCCCCAGGGGCGCTGGTCTCCGTCTCCATCTTGAGGCTGTCGATGTGGGCGATGGAGATGACAGTGGCCGCCACATACCAGGGGAGCCCCATGAAGGAGCACAGGGCCATGAGGATGCCCACCCAGAACAGGTCCAGATGGTAGCCAGCAGCCTTCTGCATGGGGCGGCGGGAGGGGAGGGCTGCCTGGGGAGTCTGCACCTGACCACCTGTTGGTCTGGGGGGGGGGGGGGGGAGCGAGAAATCTCCCCAGAGCAGCCACTTTGTGGAACATGGTTAAAAGGCTCCCCTCGGCCTTCATTAGGTACTCTTAGGGTGTCACCACCCTGAGGCGCTCAGGCATCGCCAACCCCAGGGTTTGCTGAGCTAGGGAAGGGACATAGGAAAGGGTGGTGTTTGGGCTCGGACAGGTGCTGGGCTTGGGTCCTTGGGAAGAAGGGCTCCTACCAGTGGTGACAATACCTGTGCGATTCTTGAACGTGGAGTCTTGGCCGGGGCAGGCTCTAGACCAAGCTCAGAGTGGTCTAGATCGGTATGGGGGGAGGGTTGCCCGAATCTCCTCCAACCCAGAGGCAGGGAGGGGAGCTACAGGGACCAGAAGGGCTAAGGATTCTCCTCTGCCTCATGGTTCTGGGTCAGAATCCCAGATTTTCTCAGACTCCCAAGTTCCTGGTCAGGAGGCACACACAGAGCTGGAAGGTCACTTTGGGAGAAGCAAGGAGCCTGTCCTAATGGCCCACCCTGGGTTTGGTCCTGGTCCTTGGGTAATCACCCTGGCCCTGATGGCCTTACCCACATCTGGAGGTCATATTCCCCCACACACGCACCAGAACTCTAATCTTCTGACCTCACATCTTGCTTTATAAATCGCCCCACATTTTGACAGAAGCACCATCTCCCTTCTTTGTTCCTTCTGACTTTGGGGGAAGAAAGAGGTTGTGCCCTGCTCCTAGCAGCCGCCTTACCCTCAGCTTGTTCTCCTTCCGGTTGACTATGACGGCGGTGATCTGCTGGTCCATGAAGATCAGGATGGTCACCAGCAGGGCGGGCAGGATGCTCGCCAGGTACACCCACCATGGGTTCTTCCCAAAGGGGGCCACGAACCAGCCTCGGTCAGGCCGTGTGGGCTGAGCAGAGCAAACGGAAACAGCCCTTTCCTCTCTCCCTTGTCCCAGCACACTTGCTGCCCGGGGCCCCACTCTCCCTGACACCCCACCACTCCCCACCTGGGGTGCTTTCTGAGTGCAATCTTTTCCCTTTAAGACATTAGGCACCTGCAACTGTAAAGACACCACAGAGGCAGACAGACTCAGGAAGGGCATGGTATCTGCGGCACTAAGATCATCAGCGGCAGCTGCCCTGGGGTTGACTGGGACCAGGGAGATGCAGAGCCAGAGGCTGTAAGGAGAGATCTGGCAGTCCTTAACTGCAACGTAACAAGAAGCAGGAACGAGGCCCAACAGGCAAGAATAAGGAATCTGATGGGCCCGGTGCCTGACGTTTCTGCCTCTCCTCTGAGTCACCTGTCTGGGGAGCATTACAGGATGGTTTGTAAAACACCAAACAGTAATTCAGACTTGCACATTAAGAACAAGGGATTATCTATGCAGGAGCTGGGCTGAAATCTATCTTTTGTTTTACTTAAAAGAGGTACTTTTTGTGTTCAAGCTACTTAAGAGAACCCTGAAGTAATCTTGAGGAGGTCAAGCCCTCAAAGGCAGGGAGGGTGAGTTCTAGAACCTGTACCTCCACACCCAGTGTAGGTGGTTGGTGCTCCTTGTGAGGGAGCCGGGCCTGAGCTTAGCTACGAGCAAACAGCACCAACTCAGGAATGATGGAGAGTTCCTGCAGCAGTGATTCTCAAGCTTGGCAGGCCCTTTCGGGGGTGGGGGTGGGGGGCGCTTATTAAAATGCAGAACTCTGGGCCCCATCCCCAGACTTCCTGATTCCACAGGTCTGGGGTGGGGCTGAGAAGATGCATTTCTAACAAGTTCTCAGGTGATGATGTGATGATGTTAGTCTGGGGACCACACTTTGAGAATCAGTGTTCTAGGGGATCATTTTCAACAGACCCCAGATGACCCCACTTAAAGACTGCTGGAGCCAGCGGGTTGTAGCTCCATAAGTGGAAATCAGGGGCTTCTGCTGGGCTGGAGGGGGGGTTTCAGCACCTTCTCCACTCCGTGACTCCACAGCAGGATTTCATTGTGAATATGTCCCCAACCTACCATCCCAAGGACCACCCGCTGGGAGGCTGTGTGGAGGAAGGGTGGCGCATACCCAGAGAAACCTCCGGGTTGCTTGGCTGAGAGTCTATGGAAGTTTGATTGGCATAGAGGGGAAAGGAACTGCAGCTGGTGGGCAGGCAGGGCTAACGCCCAGAGCAGGGGCCAGGGGCAAACCTTGATGACACTGGGCACATGCAGCTTGGGGGTCGCCAGGCCGAAGCAGGCATCGATTCCACAGAACAGCAGGATGGAGAAAATAATGGAAAAGTCGGCTACCAGGGCCCGGACCTGCAGGAAAGAGATGGGCAATTGAGGGAAGCACCTGCCCTCCTCCTGGAGGGCTCAGTCCTCCCCTGGCAGCACGAGGAGCATGGGTAAGAACTTGGGCTTCAGTGTCAGCAGACCGAGGCTCAAATCCTGGCTCTGCCCTTGCCAGCTGTGCGACCCTGGAGAAGCAGGGCATCTCTTGGAGCCTCAGTTTCTTCATCTGTAAAATGGACATAATGATAGCACCTACCTCATAGACATAAGTGAGCTATGACACATTCAGAGGGCTTGGCGTAGGTTAGTGAATTTGGGAATTGTTATTAGCCAGTGACTAATGGCGCCGCTGCTGAAAACATTTTCTGGTGTGACATACGGAACTGGGTCACCTGTAAAGGGTGGTTGAGGGCAAGGCTGAACTTAGATCTAAAGGAAATCCTACCTCCTGAAAATGTGTGGCGATGGCTGCACTGCCATCTGGGCTGGGAGGGAGGTCCTCGATTCTGCTGGGGACCCCTGTCTGCTCTCAGACCTTCTGTCCACTAGATGGCCTTCACCTCTTGCTCCTGTGTCTCAGGATGCCCATGCTAGGCCAGGTTCCCCGGCCCTCCCCAGTCAACGTCCACACTGCCGCCTTTTCTATATCTCTTCAAAGAGAGCAGGTTCCAGAGAACAACAGGGAAAGAAGTTAGGAAGGGCAGGGGCAGGTTACGGCACACTGAATGCATTCCCTGTACCCCTTACTCCCCTGTAAAATTGTTATTAAAATAACATATATAATTAATTAAAAACCCACATGGTGGAGAAAGCCAAGTTCCCCACCTCACCTTCCCTCACTCCGGATATACCCCTATGTCTGCTTGATTTTAGTTGTTTTGGTGATTTCTTCCATGTCATTATCTAATATGCTATACTTTTATTTTTTTTTAAAGATTTTATTTATTTATTTGAGAGAGAGAGAATGAGAGATAGCACGAGAGGGAAGAGGGTCAGAGGGAGAAGCAGACTCCCTGCCAAGCAGGGAGCCCAATGCGGGACTCGATCCCAGGACTCCAGGATCATGACCCGAGCCGAAAGCAGTCACCCAACCAACTGAGCCACCCAGGCGCCCTAATATGCTATACTTTCATATTGTGATTTACTAAATTAAAGCATGATCTACTGATAAAGATTCGGCTTACTTGCCCTGTCCCTCCTGCCCTTTCCTCAGTCCCAATCTTTGAGAGTTCTTTTTTCTTTCTTTCTTTCTTCTTTTTTCAAGATTTTGTCTATTTATTTGACAAAGAGAGACACAGCGAGAGAGGGAACACAAGCAGGGGGAGTGGGAGAGGGAGAAGCAGGCCTCCCATGGAGCAGGGAGCCTGATGCGGGGCTTGATCCCAGGACCCTGGGATGCTTAAAGACTGAGCCACCCAGGTGCCCCGAGAGTTATTTTCAAACTCTTTCTATGGGTTTCCTTTGTACTTTCAAGTTATACAGTGAAGCCTCTCTTTCTGCTGACTTTGCAATCACTCACATGCTCCGTCACATGAGGCTAGCTGCAGCCCTTCCCCCACCTCCCCTCCCCATCCTGTTCTGTCTGTGACCCTTCCCTGTGGATCTTTACATTGTCAAAGCTGAGAACACTCACATTGTGTTCCATCAACACATGTCTTTTGTGGTTTATCTGTAACGTGATTCTCAAAGTTGAAAATCAGTAACAGCTTTATATTACTGTGATCAGGTAAGCCAAGCAGCATGCAGGTTTACAGTTGTTTTTCTGCAGTATCCCCAGCATCCGGATCAAAAAGTTATTAAGTTAAACCATATGACTTTGCCATTTTTTGGTAGGGCAAAACAGTCCAATGCACTTCATTTCGTATGGTCCGACCTAACATAAAGATGAATATGATAAACAGCTGTGAACTCCCTGTACCTTAAGAAATGAAAATATACGCATTTAGTCAATGCCTCTGTGTGATCCAGTGGCATCCCTGTCCCTGCTCTCTAGAGAGATCCACTGCTCTGAATTTGGACTTTATTCTTCCCATGAATGTCTTAATACTTTTACTAAATATGTATATAGCCCTAAACAAAATATGGCATTGTTTTGCACATTTTAAAATTTTACATAAATGGTTTCATATTATTTGTAACCTTCTGCAATTTGCTTTATTTGCTAACATTATGTTGGTGCTATTCTTCCTTTTGGATATAGTTGTAGTCTACATGTATATGAACTGCAGCTTAATGTATGATTGTTTCCCATTTGTTTCTTCATTCTCCTGTCGATAGATCAACTTAGATTGTTTTCATTGCTTTCCTCTTAGAATCAATGCTTCTGTGAATATTCTTGCACACATATGAGGATTTCTCTGGGGTGTATTCCTGGGAGAGGAAATGTCCATTGGAAAATCATATCCATCTTTAGCTCTACGAGAGAGTGCCAATTCTCTGAATTGCTTGTGCCTATTTACACTCCCACCTGCTTTTCACCTCCAACACTTGGTATCCCAAGACCTTCATATCTTTACCAATCTGATGGGTATGGAGTGGTATGGTGTCATTCTTCTCTGCAACACTAAATTCCAGGAGGCAACAGAGCAATTCGTAAGAAATTTAAGGGGGGAAGTGTTGGTGATAAAAGAATTTCCTACTATATGAATTATATTTCATCCTTCAGGAAATAGACATTCTCAGATGCAATCACTGCTCTAGATCTTTTACATAAAAGGTGACTTGGCTACGCTCTGAATGGAAGTAGGGAGGAAGGGAGGGAGTTTGTCTTGAGGATGCATTTGTGTTGCAAGCACGCTATTTTTTTCCTCAGCTCGTACATTGCAAAACTCCCTAAAGAGTCTTTTATTTAGTCTTTATGAAATATTGAGAAAAATTCTCAGGGCAGGGTGAGCTTACCTTGGTCGGGAAATAGCGGCTGAATTTGAACTTCTTCAGGGTCAGGGTCATGGAGTACGTCCCAAAGAAAAGGATGAAGGACATGAGTGCCAGGTCAGGGATGAACTGGCAGGAATTCCCGAGCAGCTGTCCACCGTAGTTCAGACATTCCTTCTTGCTCAGCAGAGACCAGTCCAGTGCTGTGAGGTTAAGGGGGTTGTACTTGGAGACCAAGCACAGGAGAGAAAGGGTCAGGGCCTTCCTGGGGAGTCAGCTGTATCCTTGCCCCTAGAGTCCTTCAGGCAGCCCACACACCCCTCCCAGCCTCCACAGAGCCCAGCAACAGAATTATGTTCCTGGAGACAGGCTGTGTCAAGGAACAACAAACAGAGGGGCCCCTGGGCAGAGCAGGAGCGAACACGTGTTTCTTCAGTGTGTTCTAGATTGCACTGCTGAGTTATTGAGGAGAAGCAGCTGAGAGGGTGGGATGTCCTCTCCTACAGCACACTTGGCTACCAGCTCAGTCAACTATGGATCTCTTTCCTGGAGTATGTCACATTTATTCTTCCTTTTCCTTCCCCTGTGCACACCTTTTCACATATTGGGGCTTACACCTTACCCTTGTCAGATCTCTCTTGGGTCAGTCACTTCCCCTTTTCATGTCTAGATGCCTAAAGTCCAGGGTACACAAAACAATTACATATATAGAAATATCTATATATGTACATGTATGTATATATATATATATATATACATAGATATCTATCTCTAAGTGTATGTATATGAGTGCATATACAGACATACATGTGTATACACACATATGTTCATATGCATGTTTCTAAGTGTAATAAAAGCAGAGTAATTTATAATAAAATTTAATATAGATTTCAAAAAATTACTGTAAATATTCAGGAACCAGGAAAATGAAGTAAACAGATGTTTGCAACCACGTGTAGTGAATGTTTGGATTAAGAGGAGTGTGGGACTTTGATATAATAGTGGTTTCCAATGAATCATGCCTCCCTGTGTCCACACTCCTCCATGTCACACCAACAGTTCTCCCATCAAAAAGTGGTCTATTTCTCCACCCTTCTGAATCTGGCCTGGCCCTGGGTCTGCTCAGACCAGTGGAATGGGGAGGAAGTGGCTTTGAGCAGGGTCTGGAGCCGAGGCCTTGAGGGGCCTTGCCGGATCTGTGCTTACCCTCTTGGCAATGTGAGACTGCCATACTGTGGGAAAGCCTGGGATCAGAAAATACCATGTGAAGAGAGAAATCCAGATTTGAAAGACATCTGCTGCGTGTCAGGGCCTCCCTCAGTCACTGAAGCTAATAAGGCTTCCCCCTGGCCGGGCAGCATGCCTCACTGCCCCACCAGGCTGGCCCCACAGCTCTGTCCCCACTCATCTCATCTCTTGGGCTTCCCCTGTGCACCGCCACACCCTCCGGCTGTCTCGGCAGGGCTGGTCCGCTCCCTGTCCTCAGAACAGGTTTTATGTTTTCCTTATTTGCCCTTCTGTCTGTGCTGGTCCCTGGGCCTGGAAGGTACTTCTCTCTAGGGAACCCACTTTCCTGACCTTCAAGGCCAAATCACATTCCACTTCTCTCTGAGGCTTTCCTCTCCAGCTTGTGGGGTGCCTCCTGTCTCCATGGCTGGAAGGACACGTTTGGCCTATATTTGGTACATGGCATACTCTGCTTCTGCTGTCCCATTAGCCTTCATGCTCATCTCCTCACGTATATCACATGCAAGTTGGAGGGCAGGCAGGGGCCACGTCTGGTTTTTTATGTCCTTTTAGCCCTCAGAGTGCACATAGCACCTCGCACATAGTAAGTATCCAGCCTTAGGCACTGGCTGATTCCATTCTTCCTCACACGAAATCAGGTATTTGAAAGACCTTAGGTTAAGTTGCCAACTGAGCAGTCAGCTGCCTCTGCAGGAGTGACTAAAGGAGCAACCTCAGGGACACAGAAAGTCCAAAGATCTCCCCCAAAGCCCACCAGGAGCTGCTCTTCTGCTTTTGGACTTCCCACCATTGGAGCCGCTCAGGCCGGGCCCCTCTCCTGAGGGCCACTGCTCATCGTTCTGGGGAGGGGCAGACCAGACCTGACGGGGACTCGTGAGCACACAGGACGGATCAGATTCAGCGAGGGGAGTAGCATTAATAACCTCTCTGGGGCTGGGGAGTGGCACTGTTAGGTGGGGGATGGGGGTGCTAGGTTGAGAGGCAAGGAAGAGGGTAAGAAGCCAGCTGGGAAACCGGGTTTATACTGTTGTTTCTGCAGCCCTGTTTACCACTCCTCACCTCTACCTCCCCTTCATGTGTGTGAGCCTGCGTGTGTGATATTTATACACATGGATTTAATAGGATGAGACATGTGTAAACGGGGAGGTTTTGACAATATATACTTACAATAAAAGTACGCATTTACAGAGCTCCATGGGTGACCCTGATGTGCAGCTGGGACTGACCTCTACAAGTCTGGCTTGCCGTAAAATGGCAAGCCCAGCCTCTGTTTCCCAACTTCTCTCACTCTCCCCACAGACAGAAGCCCTCGAATGTCTGAGTAAGAGGAGAGGACACTTACCAGAGAAGTGTTGGTGTTCGGTGGCAGCAGGGCTGAAGCATTGAACATGGTTGTATTTGCTGTGGATGAGCACAGGACATGGGATGGGTCAGCAGCTGCTGGGTTGGGAGCCTTCGGCCCCCACCAGGCCCCCAGCTTTTCCATCTCCCACCATTGCTCAGAGCCCAGGAGTGGCTTCCCTTGTGAGGGCAGCTCATTGCGCCCTGGGCCCTCTCCATTAAGTAGCTCCAGTGCAGCAGGTTTGGGAAGAGAGGGAGGAGGCCAGCTAGCCAGTTTGCTGGCAATAAATCTGAAATGTACTGCAAGCCATTTGGCTTCTGCTGGCTCTCCATGGTTGGTTAGGAAGACAGAGTGAAGTAGAGGCTATTCTTGAAGCTTCCCTCAACTTCCAACAAGCTGACACAGGGTGGATGTGATCACAGGGCCCCTCCGTGTTGCCCACTTCTGGGCCAGTTGGGGCTGGGAGTGACTAAGGAATTCAGTCTTGACCCAGGGCAGAATATTCCTAAAAGTTCTACAAACCAGAGGTTTGTTATAATTATTCTGAAGAAAGCTTCACTTACAGAAATCAGGACATCTGCTGCCTTACTTCACACCACTGACCAAGAGAACACGATGCACAATTAACAACAGAGCAGAGGAAGTGGGCAAGAAGGCTAACTCAGGGCTACCCACACAAACACTAGAGGACTCCCAGCTAACACTTGAGCCTGGAGAGTTCAGGCGCCTTTCCATTGCCCAAGCTTGTCAGACCAGATACTCCCTTGATGTCTTCTGTTTAGGCTTAGCCATTCTTTTATATTGGGTAGAGTTATCTGAAAGTCACTTTGAGATGAAGAAGGTGAAATATATAACATGGAAAAATTCCAGAAAGGGTCCAAGTATCAAATATTTTTAAATTCTAGTGTTTACAAAGTGGTACTCACTTGGGATTGAAAGCAGCCCATCAGTGTGTGCAGCATCCATAAATAGAATACAAATCAGTTACAATGGAAACAAGATTAAATTTAAAAAGAGCGCACCCACACAACAAGCTCTTAGGATGAAGAGTGGGGAAGACTGAGAGGGTGCCTTGGCCAGACTGGGCTTTGCAGTAAAGCTGGGAACGTGGAACCTTTTGTAAGCAAGTGGCCCAGGGACTGGGAAAGAAACCCTCCTCACTTAGTTCTCCCCTCCCCCATCTCCTGTTGTTGAGAACTTTCCTTTCATATTCTAATCAAAACTAACTTGTCCTGATTCCAGTCCCTTTACTCTTGGTGAAGAAACTGAAAATCTAATCTGACCAGGGTTAGTGGCTAATAATGACTATGTATTACTAATTAATAGTTCAATAGAGCAATGGTTCTCAAACTTAAGCATGCGTCAGAATCACCTGGAAGGCTTCTTACTGTACAGTTAGCCCTACCCCAGAGTTTCTGATTAGCAGGTATGGGGTGAGGCCCAAGAATTTGTATTTCTAACAAGTTCCCGGAGGTGCTAAGGCTGCTTCTGGGGACCACACTTTGAGAACCATGGCAGTAGAGTGACCCAAAATAATGAGGTGACATCAGGCACCTGGGCAAGGCCAGAGGGGGCGCTATTTGGAGGCAAGTAGATTTTATTAGGGCCATCAAATCCAACCTTGTATGCTCCTATGTCCCCTGTTCTTAGGGCATGTCTATGTTTGGTTTCTCCTATGGACAGATGATTCTCAGAATGACCAAAGTGCCACATATGACCCCAGAATTTGGACTGTTTCTAAAAGAGATCAAGGCCGTGTACTTCCAAAAGCCATGTTTGTGGGAACATTTGTGTTCAGTCGGTGCAACAAAGCCACTGTCCAGTGGGCACAAGCAGCAAATGGGAGTGCCCTGAGGGGGCCCAGGCCACAGAGGAGAGATTCACTCCAGGGCAGAATGAAAAGGCCCTGCAGGTAGGATCTCTTCCATCCCCTGGGCACCAAACATGTTCTGGCTTGGGACAAACAATAGCTTCACCTATTGTTGGATTTTAATGAAATAACTCTAAATTAATGATAGAAAAAAATTGTCTAGACTTCTTTACAAAACCAGTGCAATGACAGAGGGAGAGAGGGTATAACCAAAACTATACTCCCTGAGGTCAGGACATCTTCCTCTCCATGAGGCCTAGTCTAAAGCAGGTGCATGGTGACTGTATAGTAAATATTTTTGATTGACTTATGATCAATCTTTTATCAATAACATGTGTTAGAGTGCTAACCAACATAAAATCTACTTGTGTCAAACTCCAGTCTGATCTGGGTATAGATTTGAAAGCCTCACAAGAGTTCCATGAGACTGGCAGAGCCAGCATTGATATCCCTCTTTCACAGCTAGGGAAACTGAGGTTCAGTGTGACCTTAGGTGGTCTCTGGACCTCAATTTGCTCTCTGTGAGTCCAGCTTGGTGGTGTTCAGAGATATATGGATGGGTCTCTCTCTAGATCTAGATCTAGATCTATCTATGGGTGTCCCTGCTCTGCAGCATCCTGGCCACCCCAGGCACAGTCCACTGAAGGCTCTGAGAGCATGACTAGGACTGTGAAGGGAGGCCAGTGGTTGAGACTATAGGAAGCCCTAACTATACAGATGACACTTTTTTGGTCAGTAAGGAATTCCACAGGAACAGCACCAAGTATTATCAGGTTGACCAGTTGGTTGATTCAACCTCCCACCCACTGCAGGAATTTTTTTTTTTTTTTTTTTTTTCAGAGAGCAGGCTAGCAGGGATAGTGGGGAGCAGAGGGAGAAGGGGAGGGGGAGAGAGAATCTTAAGCAGGCTCCACCTGCCTGATCCAGGGCTCGATCTTATGACCCTGAGATCATGACCTGAGCCAAAACCAAGAGTCAGTGCTTAACTGACTGAGCCACCGGGCGCCCCAGGAATTCTTTTTACATCACCCTTGGCAGACGGACATCCAGGTAGTGTTCAGGTCACTTGTTACCACCCAAGGGGGCTGATACCTCTCATGGTGGTATCTCCTACATTTCAGTAGAGAGAGGGGGGAGAGTGAGTGGGTGGGGGCCCAGGGCACATCTGGGATTACCGGTCACCTGTGTCGGGGGCGACACACTCGCATCTGTACGTGGTGATGGAGTCAGGCTTAAAGTCCATATTGATGGGGTAGTACTTGAAGGCACCAATCATCTTCTTGATGGCATCATAGATGAAGATGAAGCTGATAAGGGTGGAGAAGCCCTCTTCTGTGAAGCGGGTGATATACTTGATGATAAAGCTGGCATCTGTGGCCACCAGGATAAGGCACTGGATGGCCGAGTGGAGGCCAATCCAGAGGCGGAACTCCATGTAGTCCAGACCATTGCTTCTGGAAGACAGAGGGAAGGAAGGGGCCTTGAGCCCAGGGCTCTTGTATGTGCTTGGCTCCCAGACCCACTCTTGGTGGCTCACCTGTCCCTCCTGTGGCACAGATGCCCTCCTAGGAAATGTGAGAGGACTAGGGACAGGGACAATTCCTGGGTGGGGATGTCTCATCTTCACAAATTCTGGGAAAGAATCTCATGGGGGTGGCAGGAAGGTGCTAAGACATCTCAATTATTACACATTTGGTAACAAACACCCAGGGTGAATGAACAACAGGGAATATCAGAGTGACAGAGCTGGGGGAGGCCTTTAACTGGCCTCATGTTGTAGATGAGGCAACTGAATCCAGAGTGGTGACAGGAGCTGCCTGGTTCAGGGTATAGACTTTGGACCTCCAGCTCAAGACCGCAGACTTCCAAACGTAATTGTTTACAAACACCTTAGTGAGAATTGTCTCCTCTTGTCTTGCCTTGATGTCTCCCTATCAGCTATGCTAAAATGCACTAGGATGGCTAAAAGCAGGTAGCTGGAGGGAGTCAGGAGGGACCACCTGACAGTCCTTCCCATAGGTAATAAAGGCAGTTTTGGTACCTCCTCACCCTTGCCTCCCTTTTGGGCCTATTCCCTTGTCCTGGCCTTGGTATACTGCCCCAGGTGTGAGAGCAGGCACCAGGGGCTACCAAGGGCACCTACTTGCTGAAGTCGAAGAGGAGCTTCTCAAAGATGAGGATGGGCCCTGTGCTGCTGAGGATGATGAGAGGCTGTCCCGAGAAAAGGCAGAACAAGGAGCCGGCCATGGCAGTGCCCAGGAAGCTCTCCATTACTCCCTGGGGGCATGAAGAGTATGAGGCTCAATGGAGGCAGGAGAAGGGGCCTCTTGGCATAGGCTAGAATCCAGCCAAGGGCTCAGGCCACAGTGTCATCTTTTATTTGGGGCCCTCTTCTCCCAAAATCACTATGTTGTATATCTGAAAACTAACATAACATTGCATGTCAACTACTCTTTAATAATAAAAATTAACAAAAAAAATATAGTGCAATTAATACTACTTAATACATAAAATAAACATTGAAAAAGTTTGATCTATTTATGTCATCCTTACATTTGGACTTTAGTAACATGATTTAGCTTTAGGTCTTTTAATACTGTTGGCTTGGGGCGCCTGGGTGGCTCAGTCGTTAAGCGTCTGCCTTCGGCTCAGGTCATGATCCCAAGGTCCTGGGATCGAGCCCTGCATTGGGCTCCCTGCTCACTGGGAAGCCTGCTTTTCCCTCTCCCACTCCCCCTGCTTGTGTTCCCTCTCTTGCTGTCTCTCTCTCTCTGTCAGATAAATAAATAAGATCTTTTAAAAAAATACTGTTGGCTTATTATTTTTTGAAGGGTAAAGGATTACTAAAAATGATAGTCTGAACCCCATGGTGGATGAAACCCAAGCCTTGGTTTTGGGATTACGGGATGAAGCTCCTTACCGCCACCTGGTGGCATCAGATTTTATGGAGGTTTGCACTCCTGTCCCCAGCTCACACACACCTGATAATTGTCAGTGGCATCCCCCAGAAGCCCACCAAAGGTGATTGCGTTGGTGATGCAGCCGAGGTAGATGAATAGGATGGCAGAGATGGACTGGATGTGGAAGCCGTCGTAGAAGTCACTTGGGAACCAGGGCAGCTTCCTCTTGATATCCAGACACAGGCCACCGAAGAACCTGCTCAAGACAGGCCCAGGGGCTGCTTTCTCCCCACAAACACCAGCACAGGGGCAGGGCTATTTACAGGAGCCTGCAGAATCTGGGGCGAGGAAGGGAAGTTGACTAGAGGGACCTTTCTACCAGAACATTTAAAGGCAGGGAAGGATTTTTTGCAGGAATGAAAGTTTGTGGTCAGCATCATCCTCACTGGAAAGGTGGTCATGACAGCCTGGGTGTGAGAGAGGGGAGGCCTGAGGGGGACATGTCCTGGAGTAGACCTAACATTCCATGGGGAATGGAAATCGTGGGGGTCCACAGAAGTCCTAGATGTCCTCCTCAGAGATGTCCCTGATCATCTGCAGGGCATCTGCCTGTGCTTGGTGAACATAGGTGTGTCCAACTTTAAGAGAAAGACACCCGAGATTCATCAAGGGCAGGTTCTGAATCTTATAACTGGTTTCTTTATTCTCTGGAACAATTGAGTGGGGAATTTCAGGTTTAGGGAGAGTGTTTATTGGGTCTACTATTCCCCACAGCTCCTAAGGCAATGCTTGGCATGGAGCAGGGTTTCTCGGCTTTGGTACTACTGACATGTTGGGCTGGGTAATCCTTTGTCTTGGGGCTGCCCTGTGCCTCGTAGCATCTGTCCACTAGATGCCAGCAGCATCCCCCCTCTAGCTGTGGCACACAAAATGTCTCTGGACATTGCCAAATGTCTCCTGGGGGAGGGTGGGTGTGCAGGCAAAGTTACCCCCAATTTGGAACCACTGGCTGGCATAGAGCCAAAGGCATATAAAACATGACTCCATTCTCAAAATCATAATTTACACACAGCTTTGCAGGGCCATGTCCTTTCCTAAATTCAGAGAAACCTGAATTATTCTAAAAGCCAGCAAGGAAACCCAACCCAAAGTCTCTCACCCCCCTCTCTCTTAAAGAAAGAAAAAAAAATTCAAATGGTACTGTTATGAATTGTGTCACCCCCAAAGACACATTGAAATCCTAACCCCAGTACCTGTGAATGTGACCTTATAGGGAAATAGGGTCTTTGCTGATGTAATCAAGTTAAGAGGAGGTCATGGGGGTGGGTCCTAATCCAATATGACTAGTGTCCTCAGAAGAGGAAAGTGCCCCAGGAAGACACACGGGGAGAACACCAAGTGAGGACAGACGCAGAGACTGGAGCCACGCCGCTGCAAGCCAAGGATGCTGAGGATCGCTGGCCACCGCCAGAAGCTGGAGAGAGGGAAGGAAGGATGCCACCCAGAGTCTCAGAGGGAGCTGGCCCTGCCAATGCCTTGATTTGGAACCTCTACCCTCCAGAACTGTGAGAGAAAACTTCTATTGCTTAAGCCACCTAGAATGTCACACTTTGTTAGGACAGCCCTAGAAGACTCATACAGGAACAGAGTCTAGAGAAAAGTTCGGGTGCCTCCACTCCTGTGCTGGGCCCCACTTCCCTTCTCCTGCCACAACCCTTTCGCCAGATCCAGAGGGGTTTTGAGGGCGTGGGGAGGAAAAGAGTGCAGTGGCCAGACCCCATGGCCGGGAGGGGGCGCTGCAGGCAGAGCTGGGGGAAGGTTTCCGCAGCTGGGTGAGAAGGAGACAAGCCTAAAGGTTGGCTGGCGTCACCGTCAGGCCTGGGGTGGGCACCTTCCCGTCCAGATAAGCTCTTCCCCGATTTCGTGCATGGCTGGCATCTCTCCGTCATCCCCGCTGCTCCCTCCGCCGGCCCCGCCGCCACTGCCAGAGCCTCCGCCGCTGCCTCCTGCAGCCGCCCCGCCGCCTCCCCCTGCAGAGCCGTTCATCTGGCCTAGCTCCATCAGCGAGAACACGGATTTCCTATAAGGAGCAAGGGGGCAGAGGACGGTGGCGCTCCCAATCCTGGGACGAGCTTAGGCCCTCTAGCACTGTCCCAAGAACACCTCTTACTCTCCAACAAAAATCATGAAATATCTTAAAAGACAGAGACAGATGCAGATGATGTCACGGTACCCATGCACAGGTCACCCAGATGTTACAGATGTTCACATGCAGCATATTGCTTGCTTGCTTTTTTTTTTTTTTTTAAGAAATAAAATGACACCAGGAGAAGAAATACCACAAACCCGTCTATGCTGACCAGAAAAGCCATGGACAGACTCAGAACTCCCTTTGAACCACTTCCCTCCTCGCCACCTCTCCATCCACACACACACCTCTTATCAGCAGAAGGCACCTTCTTGGGGGGCTCAATTCGGATATTTGGGTCCCATTCTCCAGGAGGAAGGACGATGACCTCATCCAGAAACTCATCAATCCCTGCTATCAGGTCTTCCCGATTCCGGGCTTTATAGGCCACGTCACTGAAGAGCTGGCAAGGAAAGAGGAAGGGGACATCTTGCTGAGGTCTGCTTCTTAGCCACCTCCTGGGAGCACATCACGTATAGTGTCAGAGAAAATCCCTCTGAACCTTTACTCCTATCAGCTTACTCTCTGTCTGTAGGGAAGGAAGCACAGAGCCCTGCAGGTGAAATTCAGCACAGTGGGGAGCAGCGGGCCTTGGGTGAAGACCTGAAGGCCAGGTCTCTGTGTCCTAGCTGTAGGACTTTGGCTGAATCACCTAACCTTTCTGCTTTCAGTTTGGCATGGAGCAAGCTCATTTGAAAACCTGTTCAGAGCCCAGTCCCAGAATCTCAGATATTTTAGATCTGATTATAACTTTCTAGCGCCTCATCCTTGGAAGGTTAGGCTGCATCCTTCCAGATGTCTCCAGGGTGTTCTTTCTGACGTACAGATCCCGCCTGTGTTGAATATCTTCTAGGCTCCCCAACACTCCTGGGACAGAGAGAGCTCTAGGCTGTGCCTAGGCTCCATGTCATCTCGGGCTCCCCTCCTGCTCTTGAAGTTCTTACACTGAGCCTAAGTTGAACCACTTTTATCCAGCTTCTCCATCTCCAAGCTTTGGCTCCTTTTCCCTTCCTCTGGAATGCCTGCCTCTTAGGCTTGTGCAGGGTCGACCTCACTCCTGCTCATCCTTAGTGTAAAGCCCTCTCCTGTGTGAGGCCTCGCTTGGCTGCCGGGACAGTTAGCATGTGGTTCACTTCAGAATTACAGGTCTGTCCCTCCCACTTGATTGGTGCTTCTAAAGGGCAGTGACGGCCCCCTGATTCTCATAACCCTCAGCGCCCTGCACAAGCCTGGCAACACAGTAGGTGCTCCAATGGACCTGTTGGATAAGTGAGTGAACGAAGGCCCAGTGCTTGATGCAGGAGCCATGACAGTCAGGAGTACATGCTTCTCATTACCACTTACATCGTCTACCATGAGGGTTGCTATGGCACGGCCAATTTCATTGTAGGATTTTGCTCTCCCAGAAGGTCCAAGCAGTATGAACAGAAATCTGCAAAGAAGAGGAAGGAGGAGGAGGTGGAGGAAGTGAGAAGGACAAATTGAAGGTGAAGAGAGGGATTCTCTGGCCCTGGACATTATTCATTCTTAACTCATGAATTGACCACACACTTGTCCCTTCCCTCTTTTGAATCCTGTATTTGCTCTGGAAAGACATCTCTTCTTCGCTTCCACCAGCTCCCCCTCGAGCATCCTCACCATTGTCTTGTTGCCCAAACCCAGCCAACGGTGTCTGTCTCAGCTCCTTCTTTTTTATGATTATTTTAAATTAACTCTAAAACTCTCTCCTAGTCAGATGATTTCCCTCCCCAACAATTGACTGATTTTCCTTCTATATTTTAGGGGTGTTTCCAACAGCCCTTTGTGCCCACTACATGGACAGCTGGTTTCCCTCAGGCAGGTGAGGGGGGTCAGATTTCAGTGGCCCTCACCTGGTGGGGACAGGCACCTCAGTCACTCCTCCCAGCATGGCTGACTGGATGAGACGCACGAAGGCGATGAACGGCTGGTCCAGGAAGTCCACCTCGCCCACGAGCACGTTAGAGGCTTCTGAGTCCTTGGGGATCTTCTTCATGAATTTGTTTTTCCGCTGGTCAGGGAGGGGGGAAACAAGATGCCCACGGATACTCTCATCAGTGGTTTCAGCTCTCATCCAGATTGCTGTGAAGGCCTGACTTTAACAAATTCTGCAAGCATTTCTCAGGAGACTGAAATAACCAAATACTTTGCCCTATTCTCTGGATGAGAAGACTCAAAATGGGTTAACACCAGGACCAAGCGAACATTCATTGATGGGTGGCAACTTTGCTCAACTAAAGTGTGAGCGGAGGGGTCTGACGAGAGAGCCCAGGCTTGCTGGACAGCAGGCCTCACCCCTCAACCCCCTGCGGCCCAAGCAGATGGGAGTCGGCTCTTCCACATTGGGTGTCCGGCCATGGAGGAGGTGAGACTGTGTGCTGGTCTTCTCTGTCCAACAAATCCCAAGCTCAGGGACAGCTGGCCCCTCATCTGATATGCTTCTCTGTCCCCCACTCCCCCTAGTGCGTGGCATGGCGCCAGCATATGGGGCTTGGTCAGCACCTGACTGATGGGCTGGCTAGTCACCAAGGCAGCCCAGAGCCCCCACCTGGGTCCTTCCTGGGGACTCTTACTCCCTCATGGGAGTGAAGTTCTGTCTGTAGGGCCTCCCTGCCCCTGAAACCAAAGGCACCTTTCTGCCCTGGGCTTTCACTGTAGCCAAGCGCAGGGTCTACCTGGTCTGTGTTTGGGGTGCGAGAAATATCATTCATGCTTCTGCTCTGGGCATGACCTGGGAGAGAAGGAAAAGAAGGGGAAGTCAGGCTCTTGCAGGTCCTTCTCCCTTGGTCCCTATACATGCTTCTCCTGGCTTCACAACCAAAGCAAGACCCCCTCTCCCTCATCCCTCAGCCCCTGGAGCTAGCCTCTGCTCCCTGTTCTTCTCTCTCTTCCCTTCTTGCTCCTCAGTCTGCTGCTCGCTACCCCTCTGCCCACCCGCCTTGGGCAGAGATGAGATGTCTGCTCTGCGCCAGGCCCTGAAGGAGGGGAAGGACACAGACACATTATCAGGTGAGGTGCCAGGTGTCGCTGAGCTTGGACTTGGACTCCCCCATGACCTCTGTGCGTGCTGCAAGATGGTCAAGGATTTGGCTGGCAGAGGGAAGGAAGGCGGGGCTCTCTTGTGGGGAGAACAGTGACGGCAAATTATTTGAACTGCCCAGTGGTTCCTTCCCCCGTTGAGGCAGGAGAAAGTCAGCTCTCATTCCCCAGCAGCAGCCGCATCCAATGGGCACTGTCAGACCTGTTACTTCTTGGCTTTCTGTGGCCTGTGGCATCCTCTAGCCAGAACTCTGCCCTCTCTTGGCTCCCTTCTTATTTGTATCCAGGATCCTCTCCTGCTGGGCTCAGGGCCTTGCTTTGCCTTCACTCCCTGCAGAGGCTTCACCCCCTCCATCCCCCATTGCTTCATGCCCACCCTGGGCTGAGGATGTCCAGATTGGGTCTCCACTCTACACCTCTCTCTTGAGCCCCAGAATCCACTGGGCAGCCCCACTGGCACCTTAAACTCAATGCACCAGGATCATGGTTTGCCTCTGCTTAAACTCAGAGGTCCCCGTTACCTTCACAGTAGAGGCAGGGAGGGTCCTTTTGCAGGGCACGTGGGCCCTCTTCAGTTTGACCCTCTTGCCCTCAGGCCCTGCCCTCTTCATGAAGTGAACCTCCCCCTTCACAGTGCCTTCCTTCTGCTGTTCGTTTCCTTTGTTTGGAACACCCCTCTCCTGCGTCGCCCCCACCCTACCATGTGCTCCTGGAAAACCCCTATTTATTCTCCAAGACTCAGGCGTGTCTCCTCTTTGAGCCTTCCAGGGGCCACCCCGGGGTGGGGTGGTGTGCACACGGAACCTTTTCTCCGGGCCTCCTTCACCGCAGTGTTGGCCATAAGGGTGACCTCAGACACAATGAACAACTGGGAGGCAGGCTCGCTCCAGAGCCATTCGCTGCCTGCTGCCTCCCGGCATCCCTATGTGGAACAACCAAGGCCAGGAAGACTGGGGACCTGGGGCCACCAACAACGGAGAGAAAAGACTGTAGCTGAGCCCTTGGCCAGGGCCCACACTGCCCTCCAAATCATTCCTTGGGCCTGGTCAGGGCACAGCTGACATAATTTATTCATATCTTGGCCTTTTAGTAAAAGTACTTCAAGGAACATACTCTTCTCACTCTTTTCTTTCCATTTTGCAGATTCTCTCTCTTCTTTGCTTCACAGCTCGCCTGTGTGTTCCCCCTGATGAACTGCCTGAAAAGCCCCGTCTGTGACCGTGCACCTCAGGAGCACCCTCACCCATTCCCGGGACGTGGGGGGCTGTGACCGCCAGCATTCCATGGTCGCGGTGCACAAGGCTGTCACCCAGGCATGGCAGAGGAAAGTCCCTAGCCTGTTTCTAATTCAGTTTCAAGGAAGACTTCTTACCAAAAACGGGACTGATGACCATTCTGGGGGAAACAAAGGTACAGACTAAGACAAAAATGCCTAGCACCATAGGATTAGGTACTGATTATGCCAGCATTTGATTTAGAGTTGCACCTGTCAGAGCAATTACCTAGACACTTAGGGTAGTAAGTTAGGCCCCAAAGACAGCTCGGGTTTGGGGTGAAGGTTAGATTTCTCCCGATGCCTGTCCTGGGAATTCTAGACAGGTCCTGGCCTTTATCTCCCCCACCCACGAAAGTTTACAGCAGCTGGCATTCCCCAGCCGCCATGGGCAGCTGCTGAGAACACACTCACACAGCCGGCCGTAACTGGCGCTTTGCCGCATCCTCAGGTCCTCGGTGGAGTGGTGGAGGCTCGGACCAGCCGCTGGGCTCCGGGCCGGGCTGCGATCTGGGAGGTGGAACAGAAGGGATTTGGCATCAGCAGCCTTGCTGTCAGCATGGCTTACATTTCTAGTCATTCCACCTACACAAAGCTGGGCCTTGAGACGTGTCTCTTCCCCTTTCTGGAAGAAAGCCTATTTTAGTTGTTTTATATTTTGCTTTTGAAGTAAGTTAACAGTCTGAACAAGATTACAGAGAAAATATTTGTACTCTTGAGAATGAGATAGAGACACAATTGTTAAATAGGCAGCAGGTGTCGTAGACAGCTGGGCTCATCCCCGACTCCACCACTTACTAGCTGTGTGATCTTAGGCAAGTAACTCAATCTCTCGGTGCCTCAGGCTGCTCATCTGTAAAATGGGGATAACAAGAACAGTACCTAGCCACAGGGTTACTGTGAAGATGAAGTAAGTTAATACACATGAAGCACTCAGAATAGTGCCTGGAATATGCTAAGTGCTGATTCTACACCTGCTGTTATTATCATATGCTAAACACTTTCCATTTTAAACAATTCATCTAAAGAGATTCCTTAAGATTCCTTCTTTAGCAACCTCATCGACTTTGTTCTGATTGCTGCATTTATCTGGCAGGTCCAGCAAGGCTACTGTCTGGGCATCTCGACTCTGCAGTATCAAGAGTGGAGAGTTGCAGGTTGGAGAGGTGTGCTTGGAAAAATCCACTCTCCCTAACGGCCCCAGGCTCTGTCAATCACAGTGACACAGCTGCCGGATTTACAAGCCCTGGCACACTTGAGATGAACCCAGAACCTTCTATCACCTTGATATGCTTCATTTTCTGCCAAGGCTCTTGGCTCTTCTTGGGGGTTCAGTGGGAGACTTTCAAGCTCTTTCCACATACATGCCATCTCTACCAGCATTTTGCAATCCTAACCACACAAGAGAATCTCCTGGGGAGCTTTCTAAACTCCCTGTTCCCAGGCCATCCCCCAGACCAACTGAATCTAGCTCTCAGGGTGAGGCTGAGGCACTGGGACATGTTTCATACCCCCAGGTGATCACCATGTGCAGCCCAGGCTGAGAACCAGCTCTCTTCCTAGGACTAGTTCTGTTCCGCTGTTGGGGACAACACTGGGGTATGGCTGGGGTCTCTGCAGGCCTGCCAGAGAAGGAGGTTGAGGGATCCCCAGAACCTCAGAATTTCTCCAGGATCATGAAGTTCAGGAAGCCTCCATGTTGCCAAGACTCTCCAGCCACCAAGATGGGCTCACCCAGACCCTGGGACTTGACACCAGCCTCCACATGCCCATTGCCCACCAGCCTATGGCCCGACTCACTGGTGGTGGAGGAGACAGACTTTCCAATGTCAACCAAGGAGCGGTGGATGGGCTTCTTGGTTTGGTGACGGTGTTTCCTCAGGAGGACATAGCTGACCCTCTCCCGGAGCTCGGGTCGCAGGAGGCCGTCCTCAATTTGCTTCTCAATGACGTCATCTAAGTGGGGAATAGACATGCCTCGTCCATGTGGGATAGAAGGACCAGGAGTGTGGGGGTCTTCAGTTTCATCTATTATCAGTGGGATTAAAAGTGACTAAAGGAGGCAGAAGGTGTGGAAATAGTCCCAGCTTTGCCACAAACTGTGGAAACACGAGCAGGGCACAGGCCTTTGGGTATGTGCACGCGTGTGCGTCTCTGTGTGTGTGTATACAATTCTATGCTCTATCAGCGCTATTGAGAAAAGTCAATGAAGTACCCTAAGAAGCACAAAAGTTCTGTGTTCGATGGTTTTAGTCCTAACATGAATTCCTTTTAGAAAAGCATTTGGGACAAAATACTTGTGGCAAATTTGAATGCAGTAGAACAAAATTGGCAAAACGTTTTAGGGACAATAAGGCCAGCCTTATTGTCTTCCTTCACTGCTCCACTAAATGAGAGCTAATTTCCTAAAGATGAATGATGATCCCTTTATTCTGACAAGAAACGGGTTGCCATGGCAATAGGTTATCTCTGACAACGCTAGGAAGCCCCTCTCCCTTTTGCTCCCTTGCTGGATGGCGTTTCAGAGAATGAGATCTACATGGGCCCCAGACCTGGAGCCACTGTGCCGCTGCCTTGGGAGCATCAGACCCAGAGCCTGGTGTCCACAGAATCAGGCGGGCGTCAGACAGACCAGGTGTGGGCACAAGGCTGCCATGGCTTTCTGGGGCCCCAGCGGTCCCTGCCTCACCTATGATCTGTGGTAAGGAGCCACTGTCCAAATCCAGCAGCACCGTCCCCGTCTGCAAGCAGGTCCGCAGCTCGAAGAGACTGTGCAGCGACAGTGTGGACACGTGGGGCTTGCTCCAGCGTTCGCCTCCTTCCTCTACCTTTTCTTCAAACTTTATCCACCTGGAAGGGGTTAGGATGGGGCTCAGCATGGCCACTGCCCTCAGGAGCAGCCCCCATGAGGTCTCCTTGGGGCAAGGGGTGTTAGCCGGCAAGTCATGTGCATGCGCTGCATGTTGTTGGGACATTGGTGCTAGACTCACAGGCAGAGGATCTTGGGAACCCTCCCACTCTCCCCCTCACTTCTCCTGAGGTTGTTGTGCTCAGGGCAAAGTGACATTCCAGAGGAGGACCATAATGGGCATGAGGGGTCTTTTTGGGGGTGGCAGAAATGTTCCCAAACTGGATTTGGTGATGGTTGCACAACTCTACATTCACTAAAAAATCATTTAATTGTACATTTAAAATGAGGGAAGTTGACGATAACCTATAATAATAAAGCTGTTTAAAAAAAAGTATCAACTGGAGCCTGGCTACTTAGGGCCGGTCACACCTGTGTTCAGTGTCTGTCTTGCGGGGTGTGGTTTACGGGTAGCAGAGAAAGTGTTCCTGACAAAAAAGTATTTCCCCACGGCTTCTGCTGCAGGGCCTGGGGATTCTACACGTCCACTCTGGGTTTTGGTTCTCATAGTTCATATTAAAATCCATATGTCATCTGGGGAAGGAAAGAAATTAAACCAAGGATGTATAGGAATTTGTTCTTTCTAGAGGACAGAATCAGAGGCTGGGTGGAGGAGACGAGTGGGAAGGCCTGAGACAGCCCAGCAGAGGGCAGCACCAGACAGCCTGGAGAGCTGCCAGGAGCACCCCGCCAGCAGGCTCTGCTTTGCAAGATGTCAACCCCAAGTTAGTGGGTAGCTTCAAGTTATTCCAATCAAAATCCCAAAAGAGTAGTTTTGGACCACGTGACTAATTCTGAAGTTCTTCTGAAAAAGTAAGTGTCCCAAAATGGTTGGGGGATGTCTAAAAAAGAAGAAGGGGGACGGTCATGCTATTAGCAGATATGCAAACTTGCCTAAAAGCTGGAGACTGATTCCAGTCCAGATACAGACAAAGGAATCAATGAACAACAGTCCAGAAGCAGACCTGGGCCCTCATGGGAATTTGGGTTTTGATAGAGGAGTTGTTTAAAGGCGAACAACTTAAAAATAATAAAAAAAGAACTTACCTGCCACCTACTTCTCACCAAACACAATATTAAATTCTACATGAATTAAAGTCTAAACATAAATCTATGATGGACTATTACTGACTCTTAAAAAGAGAAGAAACTCTGACACATGCTACAACATGGATGAACCTTGAAGACTTTACCCTAGGTGACAGAAGCCAGGCACAAAAGATGAACACTGTGTGATTCCACTTTTGTGGAGACCTGGAGTAACTAAATTCAGAGACCGGAAGTAGAACGGTGGCTGCCAGGGGCTGAGGGGAGCGGGGAGTAGGAGTTACTGTTTGATGGGTAGAGAGTTTCAGTTTTGCAAGATGAAAAAAGTTCTGGAGATGGATGGTGCTGATGGTCACTCCATCACCTTAGGTGAATGTATCCTAGGTCACTGAACCGTACACTTAACAATGGTTGAAATGGTAAAATTCATGTTATATATATTTTACCACAATTAAAATAATTTAAAATGTATAAACAACAATGCAAAAACACTAGAAGAGAATACAGGAGAGTCTTCTTATATTCTTGGTTGTCTAGAAAGAATTCCTAAACAAGATGTAAAACCACAAGGGAAAAAAATGGGCAGCTTTTGTTACATAAAAATAAACTAAACTAAAACTTCTGTATGACAAAATAAGACAAAGTTCCAAGAAATGTAACACAGTGGGAAAATATTTACAACACACAGGGCATCAAAAGACTGGTATTTATAACACAGCTCCTTCACAGCAATAAGAAAAACTCAAATTACCCAACTGAAAAAGTGAACAATTCTGGGAAGAAATGAAGATGGCCAAAAGACTTTCAACTTCACTAGGAATCAAGGACATTTAAATTATTGCAAATGGAATGACACTCTTCTTTTCTCATACTGGCAAAAATGAAAAAGATTGGCGACTTCCCGTGCTGGTGAAAACACGGGGACGTGGGTGCAAGATTAGTGGATGTGCGTCCATAGTGTAGCATGTATGTCTACGCTGTATGTGAGAGTGGAGCAGCACAGTCTTGGTGTGGGGAATTGGGCAGCTGCTTTCAACATTTAGTGTGCCTGGCTTTTGATGCAGTGGTTCCATTTCTAGGAAATTATCACAGAAATATCGTTACATATTTGCATACAGTAGAATGTAGACAAGGATATTCACTGCAGCTTTGTTCGTGAAGGTGAAAAGCTGGAAACTGTCAGTTTCCAGTAGGGGTATGGTCACAAGCATTCCCTACATCCCTGCTGCAGAATACCCCTCAGGGGTAAACAGTATGAGGGTGAACTATGCATACTGACAGGATAAACAATACCATCCCATTTTATACAAAAAGAAACACACACATCCGTGTGTTTGGCCACATGTGTCTAAAAGTGCCTGGCAGAAGCTTTGGAAGGCTACCCACCAATGGTTGACAATGAGTCTGGGGAGAAGAGTGGGTCTGCTGGTGGGGGAGGGGCTAAGAGACTCTCACTGTATTTGGGTTTAATTCTTGTAGTAACATGGCAGCCTGTAGAGCCAGACAACAAGGTTGTGAGTCCTAGCTCCATCATTTCTCAGCTGTGGACTTTATCATTTTGTTTTCTTCAGGAATAATAATAGTAGGCAGCAGTTAGAGCAGAGCCCGGCACAAAATGCACATTCTGTTAGCGTCAGCTATTAATGTAAAAATAAAGAATATTGCCTTTGTAATTTTAGAAATAAAAAATAACAAAATAGAGGCTTTCAAAATCTCCCAACCAGAGGACACCATGGTTGATATTTCAATGACTGTCATTTTTTTTTTAAAGATTTTATTTATTTGACAGAGAGAGACACAGCGAGAGAGGGAACACAAGCAGGGGGAGTGGGAGAGGGAGAAGCAGGCTTCCCGCGGAGCAGGGAGCCCGATGCGGGGCTCGATCCCAGAACGCTGGGATCGTGACCTGAGCCAAAGGCAGACGTTTAACGACTGAGGCACCCAGGCGCCCCGACTATCATTATTATTATTTTATTTTATTTTTAGAGAGAGAGCGTGCTTGTGTATTGGAGGGGGGAGGGGCAAAGAGACAAGAGACTCTTAAGCAGGCTCCATGCCCAGTGTGAAGCCCAATGCGGGGCTCGATCCCGCGACTCTGAAATTATGACCTGAGTCAAAATCAAAAGTCCAACACTTAACAAACTGAGCCACCCAGGCACCCCTCCATGACTATCATTATAGATCTCTGTGTGCAGGAATGTACATGTATACATGTGCACACACAATTTTACATTAATGACACCATAAGGACATAATACCTATTGGACATTCTTTCATGTCTACTAATGTCTATAAATATATCATTTTAAAGGCTCTTTAGTATTTATTTTATTGCACGAATGGACCACAATTGATATGAATAACCCTCACTTGGTGGACATTTAGGTTCTTATTCTTTTTTTTTTTTAAGATTTTATTTATTCATTTGAGGGCGCCTGGGTAGCTCAAATGGTTAAGCGTCTGCCTTAGGCTCAGGTTATGATCCCAGGGGCCTGGGATCGAGCCCCGCATCACATCAGGCTCCCTATTCAGTAGGGAGCTGCTTCTCCCTCTCCCTCTGCCATTCCCTCTGCTTGTGCTCTCTGGCTCTATCTCTCTGTCAAATAAATAAATAAAATCTTTAAAAAAAAAAAAGATTTTATTTATTCATTTGAGAGAGAGAGAATGAGTATGAATGGGGGGGCGGTTTGCAGAGGAAGAGGGAGAAGCAGACTCCCCACTGAGCAGGGAGCCCGACGCGGGACTCCATCCCAGGATCCTGGGATCATGACCTGAGCCTAAGGCAGACGCTTAACTGACTGAGCTACCCAGTCATCCCCCAAGTTTTCTTTCTTTTTTTTTTTTTAAAAGGTTTATTTATTTATTTGACAGAGAGAAAAATAGCGAGGGCAGGAACACAAGCAGGGGGAGTGGGAGAGGGAGAAACAGGCATCCCGCTGAGCAGGGAGCCTGATGCGGGGCTCGATCCCAAGACCCTGAGATCATGACCTGAGCAGAAGGTAGATGCTTAACCAACTGAGCCATCTGGGTGCCCCCTAATTATTCTTTATTATAAATAAGGCTGGCTTGAATATCCTTGGCCCTGCTCAATAATTTCCTTAGGATAAACTCTCAGAGGTGGAATTGCTGTGTCTGTACATTTTTAAGTGTATGATACACATTGCCAAACTGTTCTCCAGAAAGCTTCTGCCAATTGACACTTTCACCAATGTACAGGAAACCTCACATTACTCTGAAGTCTCTCAAGCCCTGGTATTGTCATTCTTTTTCACTTTTGTTCATTTGGTAATTGAAAATTTACACGACATTTGCATTCTTCTGATTACTAGTGAGGTTGGACATTTTTTCCTTTGTCAGAGTTCCTCTTTACACATTGTGTGAGTACTTTGACTTGTGAATGCCTAACTTCCTGATTTAATACATTTATTTGAGACCAGTTAACCAGGTGCCTGGCAGGGCCTTAGGGGCTTGAATGGACACAGGATGGGAGGTTGGATTAAAAGAGGCTTGGGAGGTGAAGACCTACGACATGGGGGCTGGAGCGGAGACCACACACACACTTGCCTCAGGATTTACCAAAGTGTAGCTGACTTTTTTAAATGGGAAAATCTGTTTGGGGAAACATCAGCTAAATTATGGTAGATCCAAGTCTGAATGAAGTCAATACAAAGTTTTTCTAAACGTGGTATTAAGGGATGCCTGGGTGGCTCAGTTGGTTAAGCATCTGTCTTTGGCTCTGGTCATGATCCCAGGGTCCTGGGATCAAGTCCCACATCGGGCTCCTTGCTCAGCAGGGAGCCTGCTTCTCCCTCTCTCTCCCTCTGCTTGTGCTCTCTCTGTCAAATAAAAATAAAATCTTTAAAATAAAAAAATAAAAGTGGTATTGATATAAGGG